CTTTGGGGCTGTTTTTTTTTCAGCTGGAACTGGGGCCTTAGTCAAGGTAGAGGGAATTGTGAACAGTTCCAAATACCAGTCAATATTGGCACAAAACCTTCAGGCTTCTGCTAGAAAGCTGAACATGAGGAGGAACTTCATCTTTCAGCATGGCAACGACCCAAAGCATAGATCCAAATCAACAAAGGAATGGCTTCACCAGAAGAAGATTAACGTTATGGAATGACCCAGCCAGAACTCAGACCTCAAAATGATCGAAAATCTGTGGGGAGATCTGAAGAGGGCTGTGCACAGGAGATGCCCTCACAATCTGACAGATTTGGAATGTTTTTGCAAGGAAGAGTGGGCAAATATTGCCAAGTCAAGATGTGCCATGCTGATCGACTCATCCCCAAATGACTGAATGCTGGAATTAAATCAAAAGGTGCTTCAACAAAGTATTAGTTTAAGGGTGTGCAAACTTATGCAACCATATTATTTAAGTTCTGAAATTATTTGTCATTCTTTTACATCACAGTAATCTGACATTTTAACAGGGGTGTGTAGACTTTTTATATGCACTGTATCTACAGTCAGGTCCATAAATATTGGGACATCGACACAATTCTAACATTTTTGGCTCTATACACCACCACTATGGATTTGAAATGAAACAAACAAGATGTGCTTTAACTGCAGACTGTCAGCTTTAATTTGAGGGTATTTACATCCAAATCAGGTGAACGGTGTAGGAATTACAATGGTTTGCATATGTGCCTCCCACTTGTTAAGGGACCAAAAGTAATGGAACAATTGGCTTCTCAGCTGTTCCATGGCCAGGTGTGTATTATTCTCTCATTATCCCAATTACAATGAGCAGATAAAAGGTCCAGAGTTAATTTCAAGTGTGCTATTTGCATTTGGAATCTGTTGCTGTCAACTCTCAAGATGAGATCCAAAGAGCTGTCACTATCAGTGAAGCAAGCCATCATTAGGCTGAAAAAACAAAACAAACTTTTTCTGTTCTCTATGGGTGTAATTCTCAGTATCCGTTCGTATTCTGTATGTATGGACTCTGCACAGTACCACTTCTCTCATTCTGTGAGCGGGTAATACTTCTCAGATTCTGTATTTATGTCTGCATGGACATCACATAGTAGCACTTCTCTTGCATCCTGCTAGTGATTCTTGGCATCTGTTATTATTCTCTAAGTTCTCTAAACAACCTACTGTATCTGGTAAACATTAGCTTTTATATTTTGCACATTTATATACTGATCAGTCATAACGTTATGACCACTGACAGGTTAAGTGACTAACATTGATTACCTTGTTAGAATGGCATCTAAAATTTGGTAGGATATACTGTATTAGGCAGCAAGTAAGCATTTTGTCCCTGAAGTTGATGTGTTAAAAGCAAAAAAGATGGGCTTCACAGTTTGAGTATGGGGCTGTATAAGTCAGGGTGCCCATTGTAACCTGTGTTCACAGCCAAAAGTACCTATAATGGGCATGTGAGCATCAAAGCTGGACAACAGTGCAATGGAAGAAGGTGGCCTGGTCTGGTGAAAGAAGAAGAAGGCAAGCCAGCGCAGGCAATGTGATGCTTTGGTCAATGTTTTTACCTTCATGCAAGCAATTAAAGTAAAAACATTTTTAGGTTTAGTATCACTTTAAGTCACACCCTTTAAACAATTTTGTTGCAGCATATATCAATGAATAAACTTTTCTTCCAGGTGGACATCTCTGCTATTGCCACCACATCCAATGACAGCTAATTTTGTGGCCAAATGGCAGTGGCCTTCCTTCAGCAGTATAATATGCTTTGGCACACTGCAAAAATAGTTCAAGAATGGCTTGAGAAACACATTGTTTTCAAGGTGTTGACTTGGCCTCCAAATTTCCACATCTAAATCCAATCGAGCATCTGTGGGATGCCAGGAAAACCAGGTCTGATCCATGGAGACACCACATCACAACTTACAGGAGTTAAGGATCTGTTACTGGCAGCCTTGTGCCAGATATCACAGCATGCCCTCTGTGGTCTAGTGGTGTCCATGCCATAACAGGTCAGGGCTGTTTTGGCAGCAAAAAGGGGATCTATTCAATATTAGGTGTGTAGTCATAAAGTTATGACTGATTGGTATAAATCTCCTTTTAAAATGTTACTAAAAGCAAAATTAAAAAAAAAAATTAAAATAACAAACATGTTAAGCTCACCTGCTTTGTGCCATGGTATTGCACAGAGTGGCCCCAATCCTCCTCTTCTCGGGTTCCCCGCCAGAGGTCCTGGCTCGTCCTTTGCTTTGTGTGTCCCCATATCAAGCCCTTTGCTATGGTTACAAACGCTGCATGCTCACTCCCGACCTGTGTGTCTACGGAATCACGCTACTACATAGACACACACAGCGGGACTTAGCCCCTCCGCTGCACTTCCTCTTCAACACACTTGATTGACAGCAGCAAGAGTCAATGGCTCCTGCTGCTGTTGGAGTCCCTTTGTGAAGAGGAAGCAAGGGTAGAAGATATGCTGCCATGCAGAGCGCTCATCTCTTCTCCCCTCTCCTGCCCTTCACACAGGGAACTTAAAAACATATTTTTACCCTAATGCAAGCAATGAATTAACGTAAAAAAACATTTTTAGGTTTAGTATCACTTTAAGTCACGCCTTTTGTTGCAGCATATATCAATGAATAAACTTTTCTTCCAGGTTGACATCTGTTATTGCCACATTCAATGACAGCTAAACTGCAATAAATTATTTATTTACATACAGTTTAGACTTCCAGACAATGGCCATTAGGCACTAGAAAACAAGAAAAAAAGGGGAGCACAAGATTTGCTAATTATGTCAGCGATAGCTTTTTATTACAAAACTAAAACAGATGTATACTTACAAACAGCAAGATTCAGGAGCATATCATTATCGACAGTTTCCAGGGCGGCCTAGGGCACTGGGCAAGCCGGAAATACAAGAAGACACTTGGAAACGGAGGACGAGTTTCAAGGAGCAATCCCCTCTTCTTCAGAGCCAACACTGTCGATAATGATGCTTGTGATTCTTGGTGTTTGTTAGTATTCATCTGTTTTACAATTCTAATAAACCGCTATTGCTAAGGCAATTTGCAAGGCGTATGCGACCCTTCTTTTCTTGCTTTCTAGTGTCTCTTCTGAGCTTCCCCAGCCGTAAGGGCAGTGGTGTCCCTAGGCAGGTACGAGGGGTGCGGTCCACACCGGGTGACACCGGACCCGCTGTAGCGGCAAAATGTGTCTCCCATGTAGATAAGTCTCCCCCTGAAGCAACTGCGCATGTCCCGGTTTCAGACATAAGAAGCTGATCACCAACTGTAGTACAGAGCTGCCACAGTTAACCCCTTTTAGGCTGCACCAATGATTATTTGAGAGCATAATGGATCAGAGAGAGGGCAATTACATGGGGGGGGGAGTGACATGAGGAGTACAGACACATGTGGGGAGGACAGTGACATGGGGGGGCCATTGTAGCGGCAAGATGTGTCTCCCATGTAGATATGTCCCCCCTGAAGCAAATTGGCATGGAAGGGGTTACTTCACCAAAGGTACATGGTCGGATACAGTAGTTCAATCATCGATTGATCGTGTCCGAAACTGGGACATGCGTAGTTGCTTCAGGGGGGACATATCTACATGGGAGACACATCTTGCCGCTACACCGGACCTGCTCCAAGAAAAGGCAAGTTGTAAAGAAAGCCGAGAATCCCTGCAGGATGGATCGGATCTGCGGATTGAGCATAATGGATCGGAATCTGATCCATTATGCTCAATCCGTAGATCCGATCCATTCTGCGGGGATCGTTGGAGGGGGTGTCACCAAGTGTTACCGCAACGGACGACACCAACCCTAGGGACGATTCTGCCTAAGGGGGCTGCAAAACTTTGCCTTATTGGAATCATTGAAGATCCTTGGTCTAGTTAAGGCAGAATTGGTCTCGTGTGCAGGAGGTATTTCTGTCTAATGACCAATCGGATGCAGAGTAAAACTATATAACCGCCAAATGCATACTTCATGTTTCTGAATTAATAAGATATTATCAGGTTTATTGAATAAAGGAACAGAGTGCAGGGACAGAGAGCAACAAATCAAATTTTAAAAGGGCTCATTCACATTTATGTATTACAGTAGCGTTTAAACCATGGCATTTCAAATGTCACTCAAACCTACCCTCATTGCGGCACACCATGATGCACAGGTGGCACCAGCAGGGAAAAAAACAGATCACAACCAGTTGTCCCTACTATAAGGTGCGCTGTGAGCCCCTTCAAAATGAATGGGCTGTCTTATAACAGCATACTTCATTCAATGCACAGTAATCCAGTGTATTAAGGAAATGCATAATGCAAATGAATCCTAAATGAAACAAACTTGATTGTTTGCTATGCTTTATTATATTTTGCACTTCAGCTCTGCTTTTGTGTCCTTTTTTATTAAGCAAGCTCGGTTAAACCAGCACTCCAGGCAAACAGAGAAATACTATACATAAATGTGTTGTAGATAAATGATTCAACCAGTATTGTGATTTACACATCTGTAGCACACTTATGCCGGAACAGGTGACGCCCCTTGCTCCTATTTCAGCTTTGTCATTTTTTGTGTCTAAAACTTGCTCATTGGACAGTGATTCAATGCTATAATTCCTATACAGGGACTACAAGAAAAAGTGGATACCAAATTCAGGTCCTTACAATGCTTGCATGTGAAAGATAAATTTAAAGGTGTATTTATGCATACAGAGCTGCATTAATTTGTGTCTTTTATAGCTGCCTAGAGTTAAATCCTTAAGCTTTTAATAGGGTCACCTTTAAACATATTAGAAAAATTGAAAACCACGCAGATTATTATTTGTAGAATATTTTATAAATGTGAATTTACACTTTAGTCACACATGGAAAAAATAATAAACTCTAAAATATAAAACAGTATTCTGGCAATAGGCAGAATATCAAGTAACAGTGCTACGATGGGGCAGCCTCATTTTAGCTGGTCACGTTCTCAGTGCTATGCTATACTTCTCCATAACTTCCTCTGCAGAGTTTTGAGCTTTTATCTTCATCAATAAAGATGTCAGTATCTCCATACTTTCCCTGCAAAGACAGGTATGAAAAAAAGATACAATGAAAATTCTACATGCAACTTTTCTTCAACGTTTTCTGACAATACAGATTATTTAAAGCTGAACTCCAGCCTTACTTTCAGTCCTGCAGAGCTGTACAGGCTCCTAATACAGTAAAATGAGCCAAAAAAAACAAAAACATATCTTTGGTATATCATTGTGAATACAGTGCCTTGGAAAAGTATTCATACCCCTTGAAATTTTCCACATTTTGTCATGTTACAACCAAAAGCATAAATGTATTTTATTGGGATTTTATGAGATAGACCAACACAAAGTGGCACATAATTGTGAAGTGGAAGGAAAATGATAAATGGTTTTTAAAATTTTTACAATTAAATATGTGAAAAGTGTGGCGTGCATTTGTATTCAGCCCCCCAGAGTCAATACTTTGTAGAACCACTTTTTACTGCAATTACAGCTGCAAGCCTTTTTGGGGATGACTATACCAGCTTTGCACATTTAGAGAATGACATTTCTGCCCATTCTTCTTTGCAAAATAGTTCAAAGCTCTGTCAGATTGGATGGAGAGCGTCTGTGAACAGCAATTTTCAAGTCTTGCCACAGATTCTCAATTGGATTTAGGTTTGGGCTTTGACTGGGCCATTCTAACACATGAATATGCTTTGGTCTAAACCATTCCATTGTAGCTCTGGCTGTATGTTTAGGGTCGTTGTCCTGCTGGAAGGTGAACCTCCACCCCAGTCTCAAGTCTTTTGCAGACTCCTAAACAGGTTTTGGTCTAAGATTGCCCTGTATTTGGCTCCATCCATCTTCCCATCAACTCTGACCAACTTCCCTGTCCCTGCTGAAGTAAAGCATCCCACAACATGATGCTGCCACCACGATTCACGGTGTAGATGGTGTGTTCAGGGTGATGTGCAGTGTTAGTTTTCTACCATACACTTCTTTGCTTTTAGGCCAAAAGTAAAATTTTAGTCTCATCTGAGCAGAGCACATTCTTCCACGTTTGCTGTGTCCTCCACATGGCTTTGCGCAAACTGCAAATGGGACTTCTTATGGCTTTCTTCTTGCCACTCTTCCGTAAAGGCCAGATTTGTGGAGTGCACGACTAATAGTTGTCCTGTGGACAGAGGACAGATTCTCCCATCTGAGCTGTGGATCTCTGCAGCTCCTCCAGAGTTATGATGGGCCTTTTGGCTGCTTTTCGGATTAATGCTCTCCTTGTCCAGCTTGTCAGTTTAGGTGGACAGCCATTGGTAGGTTTGCAGTTGTGCCATACTCTTTCCATTTTTGGATGATGGATTGAACAGTGCTCCATGAGATGTTCGAAGTTTGGGATATTTTTTTTTTTATAACCTATCCCTGCTTTAAACTTCTCCAGCATTTTATCCCTGACCTGTCTGGTGTTTTCCTTGGCCTTCATGATGCTGTTTGTTCACTAATGTTCTCTAACAAACCTCTGAGGGCTTCACAGAACAGCTGTATTTATACGGAGATTAAATTATACACAGGTGGACTCTATTTACTAATTAGGTGACTTCTGAAGGCAATTGGTTCCACTAGATTTTAGTTAGGGGTATCAGAGTAAAGGGAGCTAAATACAAATGCACACGACACTTTCCAGATATTTATTTGTAATAGATTTTAAAAACCATTTATCATTTTCCTTCCAATTCACAATTATGTGCCACTTTGTGTTGGTCTATCACATAAAATCCCAATAAAATATATTTACGTTCTTGGTTGTAACATGACAAAAATGTGGAAAATTTCAAGGGGTATGAATACTTTTTCAAGATACTGTATATACCCCTTCCAAAAATAAAAACCAAAACAGTAAATTAGCACTGTCCTTTTAAAGCAAAAGGTTTCATGGGCAATGACTTCCATAATAAAACCCAAAAAGACAAGAGTATTATTCCTCATTTAGAGCTGATTGTCGGACAGATCATACAACTGGCTGTAGATAGTTCACATATATAGCTGTCTTTAGATGCTTGTCTGGGGTTCTGCTTTTAAGAAGAGAGTAGCAAATTATGCATTTGTATCTGCAAACAATGGCAGCACCTCCCTTCACAGGTTCATCCTAAACCTAGGGTGTAAAGCTAAACACTAGCTTACAGACAGCAAGTTATAACCAGGGATGAATAAGGACCCTCTCATACAGGGCAGACTCCACTTAGATAAGCAGGGGATCTGTCCGTTTATCCCCTGCTGATCGGAGCAGAGCAGGCGGATGACAGGTCGGTGTCTTCTCTGTTTATGCAGAGTGGATATGGAGAGAGCCTGCTTTGCAATATGGGCGGCAGGGAGTAATCCGACTCTCCTGTCCATTTACACCCGATTTCCCTCCGATCTGCCTATACAGAGGGGGACTGATCCCCTTCTGTTTTTTTTTTTTTTTTTTCTAGGGGACCAGATCGAATTGGAGGTAGGCAGGTGTAAACGTGTAAAAGTCTGTTTACACCCACCAGTCCATATAGGTGAATGGATGTACGGATCAGGTCCTCCTGAAAAACTGACAGGCGAACCTGATCAGACCCTCTCTGTTAAAGGGGCTTAAATGTCTCTAAACTCTAGGCTTCATTTCAGTTGTAACCTAGTGTTTCAAGATCCACAGCTGGAATAAAGAAATAAAGAACATGGCTCTGCTCACCATCCTTAAAGTATATGATAATCCAAAACTTTTTTTTCATTTTAGAAAGAGTAGGGGAGGGTTAATACGTGATCCGGCTCTTCCAGGGAGGGGGCGTGCGCGTGCCCCTACAGTTGTGCTGTGATTAGTCACAGCACAAGCCGATCAGTGGGTCCCGCTCAACAATTGCTGGCTGGGACCCGCTGATCAGCAAAGAGGAAGACAGAATAGAGCTCTGTAAATGTAAACAACACAGAGCTCTGTCCTAACAGTGGGGATGTGCCTTAGTAAAAAAAAAAAACACGCAGTGAATGCACCGTGCATTGTTAGGCACATAGTAAACCCTTTGATTCACCATACATGTTATCCCCTTCCTAGCCAGTGTCATTAGTACAGTGTCAGTGTACTATTAGCACTAATCACTGTATTAGTGTTGCTGGTTCCCACAAAGTGTCAAAAGTGTCAGTTAGTGTCAGATTGCCCAGCATACTATCATAGTCCTGCTAGAAGTCACTGATCACCGCCAATACTACTATTAAAAATATAAATAAAAATTCCAGTATATACCATAGTTTGTAGATGCTATACTTTTCGCACAAACCAATCAATATACACCTGTTGGTATATTTTTTTCACCAAAAACATGTAGCAGAATACATTTTGACCTAAATTTATGAAGAAATTTTAGTTTTTTTAATCAAGTATGCTTTATAGCAGAAATTACATTTTTTTAAATTGTTTTTGTTTATAGAATAAAAAAAATTTAAAAACCCAGTGATTGAATACCACCAAAATAAAGCTTTATTTGTGTGAGACGAATTATATAAATTTCATTTGGGTACAGTGCTGCATGACCGCGCATTGTCTGTGCCAAATAGCAAAAAATGGCCTGGTCATGGAAGGGGGGAAAATCTTCCAGAGGGCAAGTGGTTAAAGAGCTTTCATATATTATTCCTTGTCTTTTAATTCAATGGGAGGAAGAATGTCCCCTACATTGGTAGTCAGTGGGAGGAAGAATGCCTCTTATTCTGGTGGTCAATGGAAAGATGTTAATGTCCAATGGAAGAAAGAATTCCCCTTGTATTGTCGGTCAGTGGGAGGAAGAATGCCTCTTACATTGGTGGTTAATGGAAGAATGCCTCCAATGTTGGTGGTCAGTGGGAGGAAGAATGCTTCTAATGTTGGTGGTCAGTGGAAGGAAGAATGCCTCTAATGCTGGTGGTCAGTGGGAGAAAGAATGCCTCTAATGCTGGTGGTCATGGGAGAAAGAATGCCTTTAATGCTGGTGGTCAATGGGAGGAAGAATGCCTCTTACATTGGTGGTTAATGGAAGAATGCCTCTAATGTTGGTGGTCAGTGGGAGGAAGAATGCTTCTAATGTTGGTGGTCAGTGGGAGGAACAATGCCTCTAATGCTGGTGGTCAGTGGGAGGAACAATGCCTCTAATGCTGGTGGTCAGTGGGAGGAACAATGCCTCTAATGCTGGTGGTCAGTGGGAGGAAGAATGCCTCTAACGTTGGTGGTCATTGGGAGGAAGAATGCCTTTAATGCTGGTGGTCAGTGGGAGGAAGAATGCCTCTAATGCTGGTGGTCAGTGGGAGGAAGAATGCCTCTAATGCTGGTGGTCAGTGGAAGGAAGAATGCCTCTAATGCGGGTGGTCAGTGGGAGGAAGAATGCCTCTAATGCCGGTGGTCAGTGGGAGGAAGAATGCCTCTAATGTTGGTGGTCAGTGGAAGGAAGAATATCCCTAAATTTAGTGGTAAGTGGAGGGAAGAATGCCCCACGGCTAGCCACAATGAAACATTCTGAAACAGGTAAAACAGTAAATATGCATGTGTTTTAAAAAAAAAAAAAAAAAAAAGCATTGAGCTGTTTGTCTGGACTACCACTTCTATTTGTATAAACCTTGCTTTAGCTTGAGCAAAGAAATCCCACAAAACAGAAGGACCTCTGCTCTGTCACTTACCTGTCATTCTGTTTGTGTACAGCATGGATGCACTGTTCCAAGTGTTTACTAAAATTAGAAAGCCGTGTCAAAGATGATCCACTTTCAATGCCCTTAAACCAGCTTTGTGGAAGACACTCCACGATCTGTAAGGTTAAAAAAATACTATATTGGAATTGAATAATTGATCCTCTGTAAAAAGATGCACATTTTCCTGGCTGAGGTTCAACTCGTTCTGATTACTGCATGCTGAAAACAGCTCCTCATCCAACAACAAAGAAATAGTAAAAACTGGATATATATTGTCTCCACCCATCCTGTAGTTTTCGTCTGGCAGCCTGAAGTGGGTGGAGCTTGTTGGGTCCTTCCCACAGCTCTGTTCTCTGCACAGGCAATGTACAGCAAAGTGATGATGTCACTGCCACTTTTACAAGATAATATCTAGGCTTGTAAAACCATTTAGTGCACAAAATGTGATTTTATATCCTTTGTGGCGGTTGAGGAATATATTAAAATGGACGTTTTTGTTCAGAGTTTGATTTAAAGGCATAGTCCACTTTTGGGACCATATTTAGGGTGTAACATGAAACATGGTCGTATTTTTCCAACTCCTAACCCACCAACTGCCACCCCTCCCCACCAGGCTCATAACAGAAGGTCTGTACCTCCATACAGACCTGGGGCTAGGGGTAAACCATGCAGACGCCTGAGCACTGAACCTGTAAAACACTGACTGCATTTGCATTGCTCTGCTGGCTTAAAGTAAGGGTTTAATAAATCTACATTTTTTGTGGGTGTATTTATTATGATTTTTCAAAAAGTGGAGCATGCATCTAAAGGTTCTCTTTAAAAGTTTACAAATGACATTTTAAAGATTGTACAATGGTCCCTGGAATCTAAAGAACACACCTCCTGACTGCAGTACCCCCAGTTTATTTGTAGAGTGCCCCAGGAGACCCTAGCCACAAGCAGAATATGACCATCAAATCTTTAATTAGAATTTGTCCAACAGAACTGTAGCGCTCAGTATATAAACTGAAAAAAATTTGCAGCATGTTTAAAGGGATGAAACATAGGGAAATGTGCATGTATTCCAGAGATGTACTAAATCTGATGTTTTTATTTTGCCTTGACAAAATCTTTAGGATTTCTGTTGTTTGTAGCACATATTCATAACCTTTAGGCCTCGTTCATGTGGGCATACTTCAGTGTATACCCGTGTGAGGACTGTGTTTTGTCTGCACACAATGCACTGGTGTTCCATGCATCTGCATGCGGGCACAGTCCTTTTCAGGTCAGGTGGCACACAGCTGCTGCTCCCAATTTGACATCTGCCCGGGTGCGGGTGTGTGTCCTTGAAAGCAGACACTGAGTTCAGGGAGAGGCACCCACAAAGATGACAAATCGGAAGCAACTGTTTCTGTACAACTACTGCATCCCAACCAGGGACAGACTGACAGCTCATGGGGCCCCCGGCAATAGGGGATCATGGGGCCCCTGTGTCCTTGCCCAAACTCAAAAAAGCCTATGAAAAAGGTACCAGGGACATCTCATGGGGCCCCCTACTGACCCCAGGTCCTCGGGCAATGCCCGAGTTTCCAAATGGTCAGTCCGCCCCTGATCCCAACTGATGTGACATGGACTGTCTGCGATTGGATGCATGGAACAGCTTTGCATCCCGTGCCCTTCCACAGGTATACGCTTAAGTACAGCCTTACTCCATTTTCAATATTTTCTCTGTGAAATGTTACCTGTGGTCCTCTACAATTAGAAACAATAAACAGGAAAAGGATGACAGAAAGAGTGAGACATTACCTTGCTGCACTTGGTGACTGCATCACTGTTTGGCTCAGCATTAAGCAGCACTAGCAGGAGGTATCGGTTCAGCAGCTTGTCGAGAGAAAGTTCCTGCAGAGTTCCTTCCTCAAGAAATCCATCCCAACATGTCACGTTGCCCAGTAACTGAAGAGACAAGAAAGAAGAGACATTGTGTGGCATTAGAGATTTATGGGAATAGCAGCAAAGATGGGTAACAGTCAGGGTATTCCCTGGGGACTCCAGTGTCAAGACCTCTCAATCACTTATTGTACCACTAAAGCCAGCCGCCATGCATTCTTATTGGCCCTTCATTATTTTCAGCAGCCTCACTGGCCAATAGCAATGTGCAGTAGGAAGGAAGAGGTTGGCATTCTCAGGAAGTGCCAAAGCTCTGCCTGTCTGAATGTTCTGGAATTTGGATATGTCAGGAAGGTTTAGAAGCTGCTGCCCCTCTAGGTGCTTGCACTTCATACCTGCATGCCTCCCATTGATATAGTCTCAGAGAAACTAAAATGATTGTGGGTCAATATTTCCTTATTAATTTTTAAAGATTATACTTTATTTTAATGTTATTTTGTATGCATGTCACTATTTTATATACAATTGTTGTTTTAGAAATAAAAAAAATAAATTCGGTAACAAAGGACTCCTACAACATTATGGATTAGCTAAAGATGTAAAAAAGCACAAGCTGTTTGCTTTGCAGCTTATTTTGTCTAATTAAAACTAGGTATCAGGTTCACAGGAAATCCCTAGGATTTATGAAGAGAGCATATCTTTAAATGAAAACTTCACAGGTTTGCTTCCAGAAATAAGAGACAACCCATAATGCAGTGCACAGCCTTTGCCCTGCAAGTCACAAAATCCAATACATTAAAGGGGTAGATAACCTAACCCCCTTTCTATTAGGGCAGGAACTCAACATGCCATATTGTCAATGTGTTGCAGCTGTTAGGAACAATTCTGTGCAGGGAGAGATTGTTTTTTAATGTATTTCTCATTTTAAAACAAAATTGGCATTGGTACATTTCCCCAATAGCAGTGAATGGCTTCCCATGCTTTTTGTTTGACTGTTTTTTGATAGTTTGCTTATTATCCCTACAAATGGCCTGAATAGGACAACAAGATTTGTCCCCAGTAGACTCCCCTTGGATTCAGCACAAAGTTTGCAAAACTGTTTGTGAACTGAATCGAGGCAGATTTACTCATCCCGAATAGCATTCTACTTCCAGAAACTATTTTAGAATGTTCTAAATTTTGGCAATGGCATAACAACCATCGAGCAAGCCTGCCTCCAGGTTACCCTAACATACAAGAAGAAGTGATGATTGATTTCTAGAGGCAAGATAAGATGATGGGAGGGAACTTACTTTCACAGCTGACCAGAACTGTCTCTCTCGAAACTTAGAATGTGGAGAGTTTCTGTCTTCTAATACTCTGTAAAACACACATACGCACAAAAAAAAAAAAAAAGGAAAAAAAAAAAGAGCTCAATGTCGAATCTTTGACGAATCCTCCACCCTTCCTAAAGCAGACTTCCCCTGAGTCCCTTTTCAGATCTGGAACCCATCTGTCACACAGGCTACAAGTTTAAAAGAAACCATAATGCTGCAAATAAAAAGCCACTAATTCTATACCAGTAGTATCCCATATTCTGATTTTGGCGCTTTTACCCATCCCTAACATCAAAGCATCCCGAGAGTACCTTCATTTGCCAAATTGTTGGGATTTTTTTTCCTTAAAAAAACAAACATTTTTTCTAATTTTCACAGTTACAGGTGGCAATTTTTTTCTTCCAAACACCACTAGGTGTGTTTTCATACATATTTTTGGGGACCTCCGTGGTAAGGGTATCACACTTTACCTTTCTTCCAATTTTAATACTTTAAAAGACAACATACCTTTTAGGATAAAGAGGAATATAAACATCATCTTCAATGGCCTTTTTTAGCCTTGAAACCAGACAAGTGATGAGATCCTAGTGCAAGAATACATTACCAGTATAAGAATAGTGTAGAAAATAATACAATTAAAATATGAAAGTCCTAGCATTTCACTCACTAAGAAAACAGTGCAGTGAGTTTCAGGAATACAAAGGAATAAACCATTTAAATAACCGGTGAGACAGCAAACCCCCACTCACCTGCCCATTGGTCAGGATCATATTTGCTTTCACATGCAATATTATATTTGAACATTTATCCGACATAAAATGATTACGAAGAAATATTTTACAGCTTTCATGCTGCTGATGCATATACTACAGATAGATATTAAAAAAAGCAAATACAAATTTACCATCGTTGTCCTTTAAAATAAACGGCCTTACATAAGAATATAATATACTATATATAGCTCAGTCAGCTGATACGTGAATGTCTAAAAATATTAACCAAGTTAAATTCTAGGTGCAAAAAGCCTAACTCTAACCACTGTATGGTCATGAAATTGGGAATGCAGAATGGATAAGACAACCAAGGATTCCTGCTCTGTTGGTTAGGTGATGTATGTGGTCAGAAATGTGTCTGCTTCCCAGTTTTGGGCTGCACAGATTCCTAAGGCCTCATGCACATGGGGCTCCTGCTTTAAACACAGTTAACCTTTTTTGGGAAGTGTGAAATACGTGCAAGATAGCTTTCTCCTGCGCTTAGATGTACCCACATTTACATGTTTAGGAATCAACTTGCATAAAACCAGGCTCAGTAGTCCCAGAATGCAGAAATTTCTTGTTAAGGTAAATGCAGCTAGACTGAATGCAGCTAAATGCAGCTTAAGCTCTAGATGTGCATTCAGTATTACATGCTTCCCGATACGCTTAGAAATTAGCTCTAAACGTATCTGGACACCAGTTTTTTGACAGCCGCATACATAGTGCCGAAAGTGTCCACAGACATAAGCATGAAATTAGTTGATTTGTCTGAAAATTACCTGAAAATTAACATACAGATGCTTCTAGCATCAGCTTACCTAAATAGTAACAAGAAGTGGCCAAGGTTTTCTAACCTGTTATATGCCCTGATAAATGTCCATACCTTAAAGAAGAATTCCAGGTATGGTATATTTATTACATGGTTATATTAGTCCAACTTGGACCAATGTATCTATGCATATATCATACCTGACCAATGCCCTTGGAAATTGGAAATCACTATATTAGACGCCACTTCTTCAATGATTTCCACTTGCTTCTGGGTCCAGCGCTGAGCGGCCGGCCCTATGCATTGTGAATACAGGTGGTCAACCAATCAGCACAGGCGCTATTCAGAGATAACTATGCATTTTCTGAATGAATGCAAAGTGTTCCCCGATTGGACGAGGTGGAGTGTGTGTGACATTACCTCCTCACTTCACCTCCCGAGTTCACAACGCATCAGGGGGGCTGCTCTGCCCAGGACCCAGAAGCAAGTGGAGATCAGTGAAGTAATGGTGTCTATCTCAGTGACTTCCAACTGCCAGGAGCATCAGCCAGGTATAGTATATACATATTTACATACATTGGCTCAAGCTGGATCACTAAAGGTATGTAAAAATATACCATGCCTGGAATTCTTCTTTAACTGTCTTCAGACTGGCTTTAAAGGCCATAAGGACAATATGTAATCATCCAGAGAAAAACTGAATTTGCACCCAAAAGCATTACTGAGTTTGAGAAGAACTGAACACTGGTAGAATATTTTAGTGGATATGTTTGCACTTGATGTATAGCCATTTTTAAAAGACAGTAATATAACACGTGAATCTTTCGTATGTTTGCTATAAACAGCAAAAAAACAAATATCTAGTGTGTAGTAGTTTACAAGTATTTACCAACATTTACAAGTTGCAATGGTTAATCTGCAACACCTGCAGCGAGACTTTCCTGCTGCCACGAGTTTGCTTTCAAATTTATATTCTTTGAATAGTTTGAATAACTGGGTGACTATCAAGTTATAGAGTCACTCTCTTGATTAATATAGGGACCTTCAGGTCCAAGGACTCTTGCTTGATTGTAGTGGAGAAATATTCAGGGAGTGTTATGTGCATGGATTTCTTTTGAAATGTTTTTGTATATGATGTATTTCTTCGGGCTATAATTAAATTTTGTCTAAATGAAATTAATGAAGTAAATATAATTTTCTGGGTTGTTGTGATACATTACACTTTTTATGCCATATCCCCTATACCAACAATACAAACATCTTTGTTATGTAGACAGTAAATAAAAGAAACAAAATTTTAGCAGCCACATTCCATATCTCACCTTCACAGTCTTGCTGGACTCATTCTCTAGTACATGTGTCTTGCAGAAACACACCAGTCTTTCGGTTTGCTGTGAGGACAAAGGATCCCACACATGCTCAATAAAACCTGGAATGAATAATGTGTCACCTTAAATATCAAATGTCATCTAGTAAACATCAGAATAATAATAATCAATTACATTTGTGTTATAAATAATTTAAAGTGTAAATTTTTGCAAAACAGGTGAACACACAAATGAAATCCATACAGTACATGTGATGCTTATTACCTGCCAATGGCGTTTTGTTTAGCTAGTTTTCTAATCCATACATAACTATCAAAGAGCAAAGATCTGTTTTCACTTTTCTCTACTCCAGCTAAAGCAATACAACTAGGTCAAGGACAGACCCAGCCTCCAATTGGAAACTGAAAAAGCAACAACACACTGCAGCAGGCAGCCCTCTGCTCACACCTGCAATCCATAAGCTTTGTGCACACTGCAATGTTGGAAAGCCTAACTGGTTTTTTTAAAGAAGTTTTTAATTGACAACTTAGAGCGGAACTACACGGCATCTGAGCACCACAAACCAAAAACACAGTTTAAGTTATTTTTAATATTCAAAGAAAACTCCCCCAATCCATTCATGTCTCCGTGCTTTATTTTGCTGAGAAATCATTTTGAAAAACACCCCCTTGGATTTCTGGCCGCAGCCATCTCGAGAAAGGGAAGATGATTCATGTAGCATTTACTTCCTGGAATCCCATCTGCCCTTAGCAAACCCATAGGCTAAGCCAAGAACTGTCCTCCCCTCCTGTAGACTGCTGACTTCATTTGCCTAGGCATGAAAACCAGGCAGTAACTGAAGAAACGTAAAAGAATTGAATTTTTTTTTAGCTACTCACTGTAAAATCCCTTTCTCTGAGTTCATTGACCAACACAGCTTCTTTATCCATGACAAAACAGGGTTGTATCGTTTCAGCTACAGGAGTAGGACACTAGGCAGAAAAAAAACTTGGCACTTCCTATGGGCATAAAACCCCCTCCCTGCTACAAGCCTCCAGTCAGTTACAAGCAGTGTCAAGGAGAAAACTCCATAGAGGGGCGGGTGCTGTGTCCGCCAATGAACTCAGAGAAAAGCATTTTACGGTAACAAAAAAATTCTGTTTTTTTTCTTACATTAATTGCAGGCGACAGCTTCTTCTTTATCCATGACAAAACAGGGATGTCCCCAAGCAGTGCCACAATGAGGGGTGGGCAAACCAACCAATGGAGAAAAAGCCCACGGCAACATGTCAACAGCAGAAACCACTCCAAGGGGTGCCCAAGAATCCTAAACAGCCGCCCGTGAAAATTTGCTACCAAACTAGCATTGAAAGATGCTAACACATTAACTAGACATTAGGAAAAACACAGACGACCAGGTTGCCACTGCAAGCTGGAGAAATAGATGCCTGATGTCGGCATGCCAAGAAAGCACCAACCACTCTGGTGGAATGCCTGCCCGAGAGCGCGGAGCTGGCGATCCACGTGCGCTCGTTGGTCACACTGGGGTGACCACTGGATCTAGATTATCCAGCCCATTGCCCAGCCCGACTGTTGATAGAAGATCTCAGCAGGAAAAAAGCAAAAATACCAGGGAAAAACAACAAGAAAAAATAAAAAGCCATGGGGCTACAAGCCACAACATAAAAACACGTCCATACTTCTGAAGACACTAGGCAGAATGACTGGAGGCCTATAGCAGAGAGGGGGTTTTAAGTTCAGAGAGGACTGCCCATAGGAGGTGCCGAGTTTTTTTCCTGCCTATTGTCCTACTCCTGTAGGTGGGGCTATAAAACCCTGTTTTTTCATAGATAGAGAAGAAAAAGCTGTGTCCGTCTATGAACATAGATGGAAACATACATATTCTCCTATATGGCTACAGCATTGTTCCGATGCTGCAGCTGTCCCCCACTGGCTTTAAGATGGAGAGCTGATAGATCAGTTATTGTCTTCACTGAGCAGAGTGGTGATTGTCTCTATGTTCTGACCCAGTGCTTACCGGAGCACTGGGCTGTGGAGGGAGTGGGAGTGGCTTGCTCAGGCTCTCAGTGGCACGCTGAGAGACTGGAAGCTGCTGGTTGGGATTCTTTCAGAGCCGAGGACCAAATATGTGACGTCAGTGGACTTTAGCCCACTGTCAGTTAAATCTGGGTTACAGGAGTGCAGAAATATATGCACTCCTGTGACCTAGAAGAGAATGAAGACTAAAAACTTTGGAAATACTTCGCTTTTAAAATGCCTTCACTTGCATTCTCAACAGGTTTGTAATAGAAATGGAGAGATGTCTGTGGTCAAATCCTCAGTATTTGTGTAAACGTGACTGCAAAAAAACACTAACTCTCTCTCTCTCTCTCACTCAATACAACATGTACAGTGGGGAAAATAATTATTTGATCCCCTTAAAAAGAAATGAAGGGTCTAGAAATCTTATCATAGGTGTATTTTAAAAGATAGAGACAGAATATCAATCAAAAATCCAGAAAGAACACGATACAAATGTTATAAATGGAGTTGCAGTTCAGTGAGTAAAATAAGTCAATAAGTATTTGATCCCCAAGCAAAACATGACTTAGTACTTGGTGGAGAAACCCTTGTTGGCAAGAACAGAGGTAAGACGTTTCTTGTAGTTAGTTACCAGGTTTGCACACATCTCAGGAGGGATTTTGGTCCACTCTTCTTTACAGATCTTCTCTAAATCCTTAAGGTTTCTTGGCTGTCGCTTGGCAAATTGAAGTAAACCTTAATGTGCCTCTTCCTGAGCTACTCCTTTGTTGCCTTGGTGGTATGTTTTGGGTCATTGTCATGCTGAAAGACCCATAAACGACCAATCTTCAGTGTTCTGGCTGAGGGAAGAAGGATCTCATCCAAGATTTTACAATACGTGGACCATCCATTGGCCCCTCAATGTGGCAAAGTTGGCCTGTACCTTTAGCAGAGAAACAGTCCCAAAGCATAATGTTTCCACCTCTGTGCTTGACTGTAGGGATGGTGTTCTTAGGCTCACAGTCAGCATTTTTCTTCCTCAAAATATGGCGAGTCGCGTTAATGCCAAAGAGCTAAATTTTGGTCTCATCGTATCCACTGCGCTTTCAATCCCTCTCTGAATCATTTAAAAGTTAATTGGCAAATTTCAGACGGGCCTGTACATGCGCCTTCTTGAGGAGGGGGACCTTACAAGCTCTGCAGGATTTCAATCCATGGCGGCGTATTGTGTTACCAATAGTTTGTTTGGTGACTGTGGTCCCAACTGCCTTGATATCATTCACAAGCTCCTCCAATGTAGTTTTGGGCTGATCCCTCACTTTTCTCATGATCATCCTTACCCCATGAGGCGAAATCTTGCATGGAGCTCCAGACAGAGGGCGATTGACGGTTATTTTGTATTTCTTCCATCTGCATATAATCGCTCCAACAGTTGCCTCCTATTCACCAAGCTTTTTGCTGATGGTCTTGTAGCCCAGTCCAGCCTTTTGTAGGTCTACAATCTTGTCTCTAACTCTCCTGGTGGTGAGATTTGAATGGAAGAAATATTCTGTGGACGGTGTATTTTATACACAAAACGAGTTGTCGTTAGGAGCATCTTATTAAATTGACAGGCCTAATCTGTGTACACATCAGCACATAGCCAGTCTGTGGGAGCCAGAATTATTGTTGGTTGGTAGGGGATCAAATACTTATTTTACTCACTGAACTGCAGCTCAATTTATAATATTTGTATTATGTGTTTTTTTCTGGATTTTTGGTTGATATTCTGTCTCTTATCACTTAAAATACACCTATGATAAAAAATTATAGTCCCTTCATTTCTTTCTAAGTAGGCAAAGTTACAAAATCTGCATGGGATCAAATAATTATTTTCACCACTGTATACTGTGTGTAGCTGAGGCTACATACAGTTAATACAAAGCACACAGCAAACACACTTGTTAATGCAGCAAATAGTTTGAATCAACTTGGCCCAAACAAACTGTTTAAAGGGACATTAAACGTGGAGATCAGCTTTAAGTAACACTTACAGATCTCTTCCCAGTAATAGGAGAAGCAGCTCACCAATGAGTTGATCTCCAACACTCAGCTTTCTCCTCCTATCAGCACATTCCCTGTTGGCACATGTGCACTGCAGCACAACCGACTGGCTCCTTGTACTGCTTCCTCTTCCCCTATTCTGAGCCCTGCTGTACAGGGGACAACATGCTGATACAAAATCAAATTCTGGTACCTACACCTCTTGCATTTAAAAGAAATACATGCATTGATGTATTAATGATTACAGAGCTGCAGCAATTTTTGTATTTTATGCCTGCTTGGAGTTCAGCTTTTTCATTTATTGTTTTCATAAGTTACATTTATATTAACATTTATATCTTTTTAAATTACACACATAACCTATTTGTTTACCCTCCTCCATTTTCTAAGTCCAAGTGCAAACAACGTAGTCCAAAAGAGTATCAAAAAGGCGCAACTTACACTTGGTACATTGTAAACCAGATATGTTGTCCATCGTCATCAGATGGCAAAATAAGGTTTGAGCAATAGTTACAAACTGAAGCAGAAAATCTAGCATCGCGCAGCTGGTTTGGTTATCATCTGGTACATAAGCAAATGTAAATCGGTACAAAATAAATTGTTCCTGCACAATCAGTATAAATCATATATATATATATATATATATACATATACATATATATATATATATATATATACACATACATATACACACACATACACTATATTGCCAAAAGTATTGGTCGGCCTGCCTTTACACGCACATAGTCCGTAGGGTTCAATATTGAGTTGGCCTGCCCTTTGCAGCTATAACAGCTTCAACTCTTCTGGGAACGCTTGTCCACAAGGTTTAGGAGTGTGCCTATGGGAATGTTTGACCATTCTTCCAGAAGCACATTTGTGAGGTCAGGCACTGATGCCAGACGAGAAGGCCTGGCTCGCAGTCTCCTCTCTAATTCTTCCCAAAGGTGTTATATCAGGTTGAGGTCAGGACTCTGTGCAGGCCAGTCAAGTTCCGCCACCCCAAACTCGCTCATCCATGTCTTTATAGACCTTGCTTTATGCATTTAGTGCGCAGTCATGTTGGAACAGGAAGGGGCCATCCCCAAACTGTTCTCACAAAGTTGGGAGCATGAAATTGTCAAAAATGTCTTGGTATGCTGACGCCTTAAGAGTTCCCTTCACTAGAACAAAGGGGCCAAGCCCAACCCCTGAAAGACAACCCCACACCATAACCCCTCCTCCACCAAACTTTACACTTGGCACAATGCAGTCAGGCAAGTACCATTCTCCTAGCAACTGCCAAACCTAGACATGTCCATTGGATTACCAGACAGAGAAGCGTGATTCGTCACTCCAGAGAACACAGAGACGTCTCCACTGCTCTAGAGTCCAGTGGTGGCGTTCTTTACACCACTGCATCTGACGCTTTGCATTGCACTTGGTGATGTAAGGTTTTGATGCAGCTACTCGGCCATGGAAACCCGTTCCATGAATCTCTCTACACACTGTTGTGCTAATCTGAAGGCCACACAACGTTTGGAGGTCTTTAGCTATTGACAGTTGGCGACTTCTGCACACTGTGTGCTTCAGCATGCACTGACCTTGCTCCGTCATTTTATGTGACCTACCACTTCATGGCTGAGTTGCTGCTGTTCCCAGTTGCTTCCACTTTGTTATAATACCACTAATAGTTAACTGTGGAATATTCAGTAGCAAGGAAATTTCATGGATGGACTTATTGCACAGGTGGCAACCTATCACAGTACCACGGTTGAATTCTCTGAGCTCCTGTGAGGGACCCATTCTTTCACAAATGTTCAATTTTTTTGTAGAAGCAATCTGCATGCCTAGGTGCTTGAATTTATACATCTGTGGCCATGGAGGTGATTGGAACACCTGAAACCAATGATTTGGAGGGCTGGCCCAATACGTTTGGCAATATAGTGTGTGTATATATATATATATATATATATATATATATATATATATATATATATATATATATATATATATATATCATTGCATATTTGAAAGCAGACACCCCCTGTGTATGAAGCATGACCTTTATGAAATTTGTTTTACCAGAAACTCTAGGAACTACAGTTTTCTCAATGACTGCCGATAGCACTTTGTGATCTGCATTTTCCTCTATGTTGTTCTCATTTTCTTCCTTGGTGAAGCAAAACTCTTCAAGATCACAGTACCACGGCATCTGGTCCAGATCTGTGACATCCTAAAAGAACAAGCACAGAATAACACTGAAAAGATATTACCAGAGGTACACAATACCGAACCCAGGAAATTTAACCTCCCTGGCGGTATGATTATTTCAGATTTTTGGTGCTGAAAACGGTACCATTATTTTGCATGGAAATTTGGCGTTTTATATTGTAGGGCTGTAATTCTTAGGAATAACTCACTTAAATCTGTCCGAACAATAGTCTAGTAAACATCCCAGGTAGGATAAAACTTGAAACACGAAATCATATATTATAATTTAATAAATAATCATAAAAAATAACATTAAATTTAATTCAATAATATAATCAAACCAAAAACACTGAAATTTGAAATATAGCGCCAAGTTCGCACATCACTGAGCAAAGTCACAAAATCGTTTTCAGTGTCTGATGACGAATTTCCCCACGAATCATTATCACTCAATTCTGCAAGTGGTTCTGATTTACTATCGCTGTTCTCTAGCTGGTCTAAAACCAATTTTGACCTAAAGGGACGCTTTTTGGATGCCATGGACATTTCTCAGTTTCCAGGCAAAAAGAACAGTAAAAATGCAGGTAGGGCACATGACAAAGCACTAGGGACAAAATATATGTGAAATGGTTTGATACAGTAATGTTTTACTATGTTATTTTAGTGATTTTAATGAAGGTCACTTGTCATTTTCAAATTTCCCGCCGTTCCATCCCCCTTACGTCCGGACGCCCGCAGGGGACGGAACCCAGATGACAGATGCCGGGATCCGCCGGATTAAGTTGCCGGGGACACTGCAGGAGGGACATCGCGGGAGCACAGGACAAGGTAAGTGATCGCGGGATTGCGGAGCGGCGCCGCATGGTAAGCCCGAGTGTAGCTCGGGGTTACCGCTTGTGGTACTGAAACTTTACCCCAAGCTACACTCGGGAATACCGCCAGGGAGGCTACAAAACTATATTGAAAAAATGTTATGGAGTCCCATCTTGGTATAAGGTCCAAAACTGCCCCCCACTCTCATGTTGTGTGAGCAAAGGATACACTCAAAAGTGTTGTCTGGCTTGCCCCAATCTCCACATCCGCCTCCTCCACCTCAATACAGTTAGCACAATCACAATGATAAGGGCTATTATACTAGACATCCATTTGCCAATGCCTCTCCAAAACAAAAATGTGTTTATCTTTGTCTCTATTTTTCTCCCTCACTTCTTCTCTCAACCCACAAACAGAAAAGGATGTGATATCATAGGAAATAAAATAAAATATAAATGTGTGTCAATGCAAGTCAATGGAAGGCAATGCAAATCCATTTTTCAAGCATTTTTAATGCTGTTTAATGCATGCTTATGTGTGAACATGCCCTAAATGTACCAATCAAAGACCTGCTATGACATTTCAAACAATGGAAAAAAATTGTCATAACTAAGCCAGTGCCAAATAATGCAAACCCACCTCTAGAGGATTCCATCCAATCAGCTGCAAACGTACCAATGGATTTAGAATTTTGTGAAGACACAGGCTAATATAAGCATCATAATAGGATTCAGAAAACCTCACTCGCCATTCATGAAATTTACACAGTACATTCTTAATTCGGCAGAAGTCTTCATGGACATCGTCAAATATGGTCTTGCACTGTACCAAGATGTTTTCTGCAGGTGAAGAAAAAAATTACATAGAAGGGTGGGACCTTTTAATGCAAACATGGATGATGGAAATGATCAAGTAATTTGGATATTTGACACAATAAAGGATAACTTCACCTTTCATAACACGTTACCCATATTCAGGTTGTAACATGTTATGAAAGCACCGGCCCCCGCTCCCCACCGATACCCCATTTTGACAGCTAGAGCAAGAGATCTTCTCTTCACCCCCCACCCCCTGCTGGCTGTCACATAAAAAAAACAGTGGCCACACGGCCATGTCACTCCTCTGTGAAGGAGAAACTGAAAGTCCCGACATCCGCTGTGGAGTGCCGTGATAGTTCATTGAATCTTCCTGTCAGTATATCTGCTTGCGCGGACATCCAATCCGGGCAAGTAGATATACTGAGAGAGCTGCAGAAGACCGGCATGGCACTAGCAATCTGCAGATCTTGCTCTAATATTGTTCCTAAGACAGGAAAGGCTTTTCCCTGGCATACCTCCCATACAGGTGCAGTAGTGCAATCTCTTTCTGACTTTAGATGCATGCACTTCAACACCAGCGGCAGCAAGTAATCTTCAGATTCTGCGATTACATCTCAGGGTTCCTGGAGGCTTCCTTTTGTATCAAATGGTCAGTTCTTGGGTTAGACTTGCTGGGTCAGCCAATGCTGGACCCAATTGGCAATCATCTGAAATCTACACCATTTGAAGATTATTTTCCTCACAGTGGGATGCATCACTCCCTAGGTAAATTAATTTTATGCATTTCAAAATGCTAAGGTTTACTGATAAAATGAAAAAAAAAATAAAAATCATATTTCAATATGAAATAGTTATGTATAAATACCCCATTATAATTTCAGAGAACTACAACCCTCAGTGTTTGAAAAAACTAAGACCACATAGATGAGCCAAAATTTTAATTTCAATTCCTGGGTATGTTTGCAGCTTTAACTCATGTTGCACTTTGAAAGACAATTGCGCGGTCATGCAACGCTGTACCCATATGAAATTTGTATAATTTTTTTTCACTCAAATACAGCTTTCTTTTGGTGGTATTTAATCACCACTGGGTGTTTTATTTTTTGCTAAAAAAAACAAAAAAAAAAGTTTTTTCTTTGTTTCCATTTTAAAATTTTACAAACAGATAATTTTTCGCCTTCACCGATATGCATTGATGAAGCTGCACTGATAAGCAACACTGATAGGCTGCACTGGTGGGTATTGATGAGGAGGCACTGATGAGGCTGCACTGATGGGCACTGATAGGCAGCACTGACTGATATCGATTGGCAGCACTGTTGGGCACTTTTGGGGCTGCACGGATAATCAGGGCACAGATTTTCAGTATAGAGGTCTCCTTTCACAGTTGCCAGTTAGCAGCAGTACTTTCCTCGTGCTGTGACAGTGTGAGGAAAGTACTGCCAATAACCGGCAAGTGTATTTACATGGACAAAGGACACAGCAATCACAGACAGCGCTGGGTACGCGTGACTGGGGGATCATTCTGGGAGGACATCATATGACACGCTCCCAAAACTCGACAGCTGCACTGCAGCCATCGTTCGGCTACAGAGCAGTCAAGAAGTAGTTAAAGTATTACTAAACCTACAACAGTAAAATTGGTCTGTATATGCAGTAAAGCATGCTTGTTATACTCACCTAAGGGGTTAATTCCCTGCATTGTGTAAAAACTCTATTTGATCCTGTCCTCTCTGATCCTCCCCTTCTTCCAGTGCCCCTCTCTTATCTTCTAATAATAAGATATATCGTGCGGAGTCACTCTACACATGCTCAATTTGGTGTGTAATGCTAGAGGGGGTTTTTTTTTTTTTTGGGGAGAGTGCATGTGATCAGCACAGGGCCATTTGGCACTGTCCAGACAGAGGTCCTTCTACAGCAGAAAGAAATTTACTCCTACAAGCTTTAACGTGCTCTGCTTGACACTGATAGAAGTCACAAGACTGCTATATACTGCTGATGAGAAAAGGTTTTTAGCAGTTTATATTTGCTACAATAATTGCATTTCCATGCTCTGTGTACTGCGGGGCACCAGAAAAGTGAATGCAGGGTCCTGGGTTTACAAACACTATAAGCCCAAAATGGGGCTTTAAGGTAAACTCCAGCCCAAAGTTTTTCTTTCCTTTTGGAAGGCCAGAGAAGCATTACAACCTCTGTTAGGTTTTAATTATTTGAATTCCTGATAGGGAAATTTATTTATTTTATTAATATGGCATCATTGCAAAGCAGGAACCTAAATACAAATTTACATAGCTTCAAAAGTGCCTTGGGAGGTCCAAAACTCTATTATGCAATCATTGACTTGAGCTGCAGCCAAAGCTTGGCACTGCCCACTCCTGTGTCTCACTACTGGTCAGTGAGGTCAGTAATCATACCAGTGGGCCAGTAGTAAGGTTCAGTGTACATAAAGGATTTAGGGTCTAGGTCACCTTCATTCAAGTTAATATTAGCATATAATAGTACTTTTTTGAAAATTTCCCCATATAAAAATATCTGTGTTTACAGGTACCTCGACTTCTCTGGATGTTGTTCTCTAGGTCTGTCGTCAGCTCATCATCACTCGACATTCCTTCAAAGTGATCTTCCTCTCCAGACTCCACCCGCCTTCGCCGCCTCTTCCTTCTGTAGACAGGCAAAAAACAATGAAATGCTAACTCACAAACTCCAAGTAATGCGAACATCAAAATTGGAATTCTTGTACATTACCTCCGTAGTTCACAATCCTGAATCTGCTTTTCCATCATGTCGTCCGATGTGTCCACATCGCTTGTTACTCCATTTCCTGACATATAACAGACAACAACCACTGTATGTCTTGTGCAGTGAAGAGAAGGATGGGGATGTCGAAAATATGTTATGGTTCAAATAAACTCACCAGAAAGCTTCTGAACTGCAACCGACTCGTTGCGGAGATTATCTTGCCTACGCTCCAGTAGAGTTCTGGCTCGATTTTTCAAAATCTGAAACATTTCTTCTTCTAGCTCATTAATTTGGTGAATCTAGGAACAAACATACCAACATATAGTAAACAATTTAATCTAATGGTAAATCTGATACAAGCGCAAAGTTTTGAACAAGGCAAAATATACAACAGCAGTCACCTCCAAAAGTTTTCCTGTCAGTCTAAATTTCAGTGATGACCTCAGGAACTCTAAATCCCCAGAAAAAAATATAGGATGAGAACTTCCAACAGTTTAGAAACATAAAAAAAAATCACGGCAGAAAAAAAGAAGACTGTGAGGTCCGTTTTTTTTCAATACATGGTTTCTATTTTTTTTTGTAACTTTTTTGTCTGAGTATAGATCTATGTTTGTCCCAAGCATGTTTGAAGCCTTTACTGCTGACTGGCTCACTACCTCCGCTGGAAGTTTATTCCAAGCATCAACTACCCTTTCATTAAAATAATACTTTCTAAGATTAGTTTGAGGTCATGTTCCACGTGTTCTTGATTTTGGTTTCATATTGAAAATATTGCCTTTCTGAACCATATTCGCCCCCTCAATGTATTTAAAGGTTTCAGTCATGTCTCCCCGTCCCTTTCTCTCCTCCAGACTGTACATATTAAGTTCCTAAAGTCTCTTCAAATATTTTATCCCCAAGACCTTTCACCATTTTTGTTACCCATCTCCAGACTTGTTTTATCTTTATCAATATCTTTTTGTGAGGTCTCCAAAACTGGACACAGTATTCTAAGTGAGGTCTCACCAAAGATCTATATAGGGTAATCAGGACCTCCTTCTTCCTGCTAATGATTCTTCTAATGATGCATCCTTGAATTCGATTTGTTTTCCCCACTGCCTGGTCACATTGTTTGCTCATTTTGCAATCATCTGAGATAAGTACCCCGAATCATTTTCCTCTGTAGTGCTGGCCAACACTGTACCCCCAATGTTGTACTCAAAGGGATTCATTTTCCCTTAGGTGCATTATTCTACATTTAGAAACATTGAACTGCAGTTTCCCCTTCTTTGGCCAATCTTCCAGCAATGCCAAATCATCTTCTATGTTACAGACACCTCCAGGGATATCAACCCTATTACACACCTTTGTTTCATAAGAAAAGATACATACCTTCCTCAACAAACCTTGTTATATCACTTACATAGAGATTAACTCCTTCCCGCCCAGTCTATTGCAATAGGACGGCTGAGTGGGAACCCGATTAGCCTGGGAAAATGTCATATGATGTCCTACCAGGATTGGGGCGCACTCCGAAGCGATCTGTCACTGGATGTGTCCACAGGACACGGCCGACGACACATCACTACACCGGCCCACTGCCCGTGTCATGTAATCACTGTGACCAATCACAGCAGATCACATGACAGTTGTAAACAATGAATGGTTTCCATTCATTGCTGACAACTGTGCTGTGAGCTGTGATTGCTCAGTGATCACATGTACAGACAAGGCCAATCACAGTCCATCTGTAGCATATGATCAGCTATTGCTAATCACAGCTGACCACAATAAAAAATACTGAATTAATCAGTTTCATACTACCAGTAGTGACACTGACCCTAGCCAAACGCAAAACTAGTGAAAATCAATCAGAAAAGATGAGTAAAGAAAAAAAATTTCAGTGGCCACCACCTGTAAAACCATTCCTGTTTTGAGGGTTGTCTCATTGTTTCCCATCTAGTGCACCTGTTAATTTCATTAACACCAAAGCAGCTGACACTGATTAACAAGCCCCTCTGCTACTTAACTGACCAGATCAATATCCCAGGAGTTTAATTGACTTGATGCTATACTCTGATTAAAAAGTTCCTTTTTAATTTTTTTTGAGCAGTGTAGATCATTATGTGGAACTGTATCAAATGCCTTGCTGAAATCAAGATATGCTATGTCCACTCCACAGCAACACCCTAGTCCAAAACATCTGTAATATGGTCAAAAAAATCAATCATATTAGTCTGACATTATCTGCTCTCAGTAAAGCCATGCAGCTTTGGGTCCAGCAAGCTGTGTATTATTAAGTGATCAACGATTCTTCTTTTCAAGAGTGATTCCATTAACTTGACTAGAACTGATTTTAAAAACGTACTGGCTTGTAATTGCCAGCTTCTATCTTGCTGTGCATCTTGTGGATAATTACAATATTAGCCGTCAACCAGTCATGGGGAACTTCTCCTGTTAGGAGAGATTGAGTTTGTGGTTGAGAAGTTAACCCCACTTTCTACTGCACCTTACTATTAGGCCTTTGCATAGGTGCAGGAGGGGGGGGGGGGGTCACAGCAGCCTCTTCTAGCCATAGAAGCTCATTGAAAAACAGTTTCAAGAGCCCCAGAGCATGGAATAAAAAAGCTGGATGGACATTTTCTTTTCCTTCCTCTATAACAACTGTGGGTATAGGACTGTGTATATGGATTTTTTTTTTTCTGCTGGTTGAACTAGATGGACTTATGTAATTTTTCAATCTATGTAACTATGCAGGTATCTGGAGGCATCTGCTCTCACATACCAATGGCTCTTTAAAGCGGAAGCCCATCTGAAAAAAATATAAAATAAATGCACATATATTTGCAAGAAGAATGTTATTTATTTTTTTCTTTGTAAATTAGTCTCCAAAGCATTGCAAACATGATCAGTGGATCATGGGGTAATGCCAGGCTCCTGCAGATTCTTCCTCCAGCTCTCTGTCTGTGCAGAGCTGGAGGAAGTGCCAATGGGCTAAAAGTACAGCAATTACCACTTCCGTGTTTTATTGAGGACTACAAGTTGGTCTGCAGAAGGGACTTGTAGTTCATTAAATTATCAGTCCCAGCATCTCTTTGATGCCACTGTATTAGGGTGAAGTCACTTTCCTTCTCGGCAACTAAGTTCCTCTCGCAATAGCAGTCATTGACATGAATGTGTATCATACTACCTCGTAATGCACAAGTGCAGGACTTCAAGGGGAGGTTGGCTGAAAGTGGATGAGACTAGCCAGAAAAGGCAGCCGGGGACTTTTAAGGAATGCACTGGTTTTACGAATGGTGGGATGTGAAAGGCCTGAAGTGTTTTATATTGCAAAGTACAATAAGGTAATTTAAGGGAATTAAAACTAGAACTAGTAATTTATAACCATATATGCTTGAAAAAAATAGATTTTCAAAACATAGGCCTTTTTGTATATTTATATGTGGGTTTAGATCCAATTTGATCTTACTTAATGTTCACTTAACAGGATAATATTTTGGGATTTAGGCTTGTGTCCATGACAAATGTTTGAGACACTTCTGGGATCATTCAGTGGCTGGTGCACTTGACCTGCAAGTGTCCTCCTTCTGACCTGCTTTAAAGGAGAACAAAACCCACCAATTTAGCTGTTTCACAATGCAGTTATAGTCAAGACATGTCTTGAATAACTGTCACAGTTACAAGTGTGCTTAACTAAGCTCTCAACTGAACTGTCATACCATCAAATGGCTGGTGTCATAGCTGATCACATGTGCAACACCATTGCAACTGCAGATCAAAGAGAGGCCAAGATGGCAGCTTCCTTGGCTGTAAAGGATAGGCGGGTTTTATTAACACTTTAGGCAGGTTTTGCATTCCAACAGACTTGTATAGAAATGCAAAATCGATTCGATGCAATCAAAAGCCCAACAGAGGTCCTACAGATGTTTCCTTCAATTAACCCAGCTGTGTAAATGAATTTGTCATTTCAGATTCCTGACTCAAAGTTAAACTGTACTGCAACGAAGTCCCAATGCCATTCACAAGGCAATTGTCTCCAAGTCTGCACACCTTCAATATGTTCACCAATCCACCTACTTATATCAGTTGCTCAATGTCCATAAGTGACCCACCTTTTCATTAAGACAATCAACAAAATTTTCCACATAAATCTTCATCTCTTTGAAAAATTTGAAACTCTGTTCACTTGATGACTTCTCCAATTTTTCAAGAACATTTTTAGAATTTTCCAGGTCATGTGTGTATTTTTCACTGTCAAGCAGATGAGATCGATGCACCTCTTGAATGGAGGCTATTCTGGGAAGAAGGAAGACAAAAGAAAGTAAAAATTATATTGACGGCTACTAAAAAATTTCCAGTTTCAATGAAAAGCTCATTTGAGAATACTTTCATTGAGCTTCTGTCTGTCAAACCCAAAACAATTAAGTCCGACGTTTTATATACAACAGAGCTAATAAGAGTACTACTAAATTGTGGAGATTGCAGCTTGATAACTTCATGCCAAGTGAACTTGCAACTCAAAAGTAGAATTGTACCCCCAGTGGTTACCTTATGGAAAGGTCCAAGCACCTGGGGATTTCCACTTCTACTAACTCTTTGATTCTCCATGGTTCTCTATCTCGCCAACTTAGCTATAAGCAAGCATGTACACATAAACCGCCGGAAATTCAACTTAACACCTATTCTCATCTAGCATTACATACGTTTTTAAAAAAAGGATCCAACAACCTTTGTGGTAGGTTTGTAAATCTCCAATTTAACAAGAGATGCAGTAAAGTTAATCAACTCTGGACTAAGCACTCTGCTCTCTCCCATCTTCCCGTGCCCCTGCTCTGTGTTTCCTTGAGATGAGAGATATGGTAGGCATTTTCACTGCTTGTTAGGAATATGTAAAATATGTAATAAGTTGAATGTCCAAAACCTGGAGTACAATCATCACACTACAGGATTTGCTGTTGGACATGTTGCACGAGTTTGACTGGTTCCTGGGACCACTGTGGGATGTACACACAACGCTGTTACACTTTTGGATATTTTAGTGTATTAACTGGATTTTAATAAAATTATCATACGGTTTTACGCCATGTATGTTTTTGTACTTTTTTTGTATGTGAATGCCACTATTGAAAAATGTGAGACAAGCTGGAGGTCAATGAGGGACGAGATTCCAAATTAGGATACAGAGAAACAATTGAGCGGTATCCAGATCCGTTTTGAATCCATGCTTTTCTGACTCTTTTACATTAGAAGAGTCTACTTGATCTTGCTTCTTTGGTGGTGGTGCTCTTTGATTTCAAGAGGACGAGGTGACATATTATTATTATTATTATTATACAGTATTTATAAAGCGCCAATAGTTCGCTCAGCGCTGTACATTACAAAGGGAGACAGAACATGTGACAGAACAATACCAATACAATGCAAAACATGAGGGGATCAAGGGCCCTGCTCTTTCGAGCTTACAATCTAGGAGGACATATATTCATCTCTACATTTTACCACATAAATTGGAACTCTCAATTCTTCTTAGCATTACTTAAACTTTTATATATAGGTTTTCTTTTGCATACCACTTAATTTTGATGTGCATTGTGTCTTTTGTAATGTTTACAAGCATTTTGTTGCCGCATGAAATACGTTGGTGGCAGCAAAAAGGTTAAAGAGTAATTCCAGCTTATAGGTCAGTTGGTGAAACCAAAACGCTTCAACTACAACTTCTGACCTAGAGATAGAAAGTCTACTCAATGTACATTTACTCAAATCTATAGAATGTTTCTAGAAAGAACTAAAACTTTGTCATAGGGATCTTTGTTATGCAACTTACCTCTCAATACATAAAAAGAAGGGAAAAATTCCTGATTATAAGCCAACATCCCCATGACAACAATTGGAAAAAGGAGGGACCCCCTAACACTGGGACTTTAAGGGCTTAGAAAGTACTTGAAGTATTAAAAAAATATACATTTTATTGTCAAAAAAGGTGATAACACAAAGACATACAATACATCTTACAGAGTCATAATACAGCATCACAATCAGAAAATGAAATTACATGAAAAGGATACCCAATATGACTGTGTTTGACTGGTCATAAAAGATACAAATATGTTTAATCTTGTAGATGATGTCACCCATATGTAGAGTTCTTCTCTTTTCCCTAAGGAGTGGAATCACTCTGAAACGTGTTGGAACAATTAGATTAGTATCTCTGCAGCTTTGTTACGTCTATGATGATACAAATTTGTATTTTTATGACCAGTCAAACACAGTCATATTGGGTATCTTTTATCATAGAATTTCATTTTCTGATTGTGATGCTTTATTATGACTCTGTATGATGTATTGTATGCCTCTGTATGATGTATTGTATGTGATTGTGTGATCACCTTTTGTTACAATAAAACGTATAATTTGTTTAATACCTCCAGTACTTTCTAAGCCCTTAAAGTCCCAGTGTTTGGGGGTCTCTCCTTTTTCCAATTACCTCTCAAGTGGGTGAGGCTGTAGTGGGCTGCTTATGCTTATGGACACACCAGTTAACATTTCTCCAGGCTCAGACTCATAGTAGTCAACCCAGATGCACAAGATAAGATGCAAGCATAGTGCTATCCAGGCTTTGACCCCAAAGTCTATTCATATGCTGAATTATCATGTAGAACTGGGTTATTGCAGGATTAACAGCACCACAGTCAATTCACATGCCAAGTTCTCATGTACAATTCATATAGGACACATGTCGATGGCTTTTTGTTTGATCAGAATCAGATTCCACCTATAACTGAAATATCACAATTGGATCAACTGATCTCCCATGATAATTCTGTCTTGAAGAAAAAGTGCACTTTATAACAGTGCATTTATTCCACGTTCACCTTTACCCTGGCATAATCTAACCCACCTTCCTCCTCCATAGGTGCATACTTACCTCAATGTGATGGTCGTTAGTAATTTTTACATCCAGCAAATCTCATTGTCCCGGCTGCACCTGCTCATTACAGCTTTCAATAGGCAGTGTCCCAAAGCCTGAGAGAGAGCAAAGACCACATAGAAGCCTATGGTGCTGAAATACCCAGGTGCAGCCAGATAGTACACACTTGTTAAATGGAGATAGTTATGCACCTATGGCGAGGGAGAGTGGGTTACGGTAAAGGGGTCTAAGGGATGACATTAATTTCAAGTGCACTTATCCTTTAAATTAAACGGTATGCTGTAAAAATACCTTGTTGTCAGCTTCTTTTTTATGTCCTCCATATTGATTGGCACCAGCTTTGGCTCTACATGCCTTTTTACTTGAGGTGGACTATCTCCACGTAAGGTATGTTCACTCATAGCCTAGCAGAAGAAAGACAACAATGAAGAACTCTAATAAAAGAAAAAAAAATAACTGTTTTATTGTACAGCTTACAATCACATGAAAATACTGACTAACCCCTTGTCACCCTCCACCCCCCAGATTTTAGGAGAAAATAAATGCTGGGAGGCAGAGGTGGGCTGATCGTGCAACTGCTGTGATTGGCTGTGAGTGATCTGAAGCTCCCAATGCATATTTCCCTGTGACAGCTTAGTTACTGTGCTGAGAGTATGAGGTGATTGTGCTCTCAGCACAGCAAAGCCGATCCCCATGGACACCTATGTGCAGCAACTTTAAGGCTTAAAAAGCTCACCCACGCAGCTACCACATATATGCGTACAGCCAGTAGGGACAAGTTAATTCAGGAAAATATTTTTCAGTACATTTGTTAATTGCAGACCTATACTTTATATTGCTGGTACACACAACACAAAATCTTACTTTCATAAAATGTTTGCAATTGTAATGACAGAACAAATAAGGAACATAAAAGTTGTAACAAAAGGATTGTTAAACTCACGTACCGCTTGAATCTGTACAAAAATGGTTTTCAAAGAGCTAACCCATGTGACAAATGGATGGTCTATTATTGCACAAAGAGAAAGTGCCTAGTTCAGTGGAGAAAGGGTCCCTGATCATGCCTCAGACTCATTGGAGATAAATGGGTGATGTCCACAAAAGGGAGTATCCTTTGACATAGTAAGCATTGCCTTTTCAGAAGAAGACTGCTGCAGGAGCTCACAAGCAGCATGTGTCCAAGTCTGTCTCGTCATGTAAACAGGGACTCTGACCAGGTCAACATCTGAAGGTAAATTTCAGTCTGTGCTAAAGCAGGCCGTGTGTCTAAGCAGACCCAACAGCCAGGAAGCTGAACACTTACTTTGTATCTTTGTGAAGCAGAGAACCCCTTCAGGGGTAAACCTTGTGTAAAGGTACTCCTGTTGATAAATAAAAGTGAACAGGAGCACTAAATGTATGTTTCCGAATGAACCAAGTTCCTGGAAAACTCTCCATTGCTAAACTTCACACCAGAGAATTAGAAACAAGTAGTATTAGACAGATCATCAGGTATACAATAAGTGAACTGCAGACCTGTGGATATTTGACAGCTTTTCTAATCTGCTGCTCTTCCCACCGATCCTGCTCGTCATCATCTTCCAGGTTTTTACTGTCCGAGTCACTGCTTGATGCTACAACACAAAATACAGTAAAAGCCGCTTAATACTCTACTGTAACCACTGCAGAATCTGTACTATTTAGGGTAACACTGGCCTCATGTCTTCAACTATACATCATTCCTCATGCATTATTTATCAGAGTGAACATGTTTGGAAAATTCCAGGGTAACCAGGATCCCCCCATTCTGTTTCCAACTACCCAGAGCAACATGGATTGGTATTCCTCTTCTGCAACAATTAGGTAATAAGCAGAACCAACTCCAGGCATTGCAGCAATCAAACGCAACCATTCTCTATGAGCAAAATGATGACCAGGAAGCCAACTTGTACAGAAAAGGCTTTGCAGGATCAGGAATTTTTTGAGAACCAGGACTCTGCCCATATCTAATAAGGAGACAACCTGGTTGGTATATGAAATTTCCACTCGCCCACTCGCATTGAGTGGAAATAAGGTGGGGGCGTGCAGCTCTGGGTCTAGGGGTGTGTGGGAGGGGCGGCAGTGACAGACAGCGATCTCCTGTATGGCTTTCAATGAAACAGCTGAAAGCCGTGGGAGAGAGGAGGAGGAGGAGATCACTGCTTGTCACCGCTGCACAGATCATACCTGATCGTTCTGTTTCTTTTCTGGCCCCCCACTGTGTACTCCTCAGTGCCCAGCACCTCCCCCTATCCACCGCACCAATAGGGGTGGGAGCAGCGTTCTCCTGTATGTCTTTCAATGAGGCAGCTAGAATCCGCTTCTCCTCCTCCCCTTTATGCGGCTTTCAGCTGCTTCATTGAGGAAGGAGGGAGAAGGGGAGATAGGCTGGATCTGCTCTGCCTCCCCCTGTACCCGCCCACACTCCAGTCCGTGCAGTTTCAGAGGATGTGTGGGTAAGAAATTGAACACAGAGCAGCCGACAGCTCTGAAGCTTCTGAATGAGCATGTGAGTCCAACCTACCTTCCTTCCACCCTTCCCTTACTTTAACCCACCCCTTCCTTCCTTTATCCACCCGACCTTCCCCTCTGATCCATTCTTCCACCCATTCTTCCTTCATTCCACACCCACCCCTCCGATCCTTCCACCCCTTCCTTCTTTCCAGCCCTTCCTTCCACCCACCCTTCCTTCTTTCCTTCCACCCACCCCTCCCTTCCCTCCGATCCTTCCACCCCACCCTCCCTTCCCTCTGATCCTTCCACCCAACACTCTCTTCCACCCCTTCATTCTACCCAATCCTGCCCTTCCCTCCGATCCATTCTTCCACCCCTTCCTTCCTTCCACCCACCCACCCCCTTCCCTCCGATCCTACCTTTCACCTACACCTTCCTTTCTCCACTCCCTTCCTTCAACTTCTCCCTTTGTTCCTTCCAGCCATCCTTCCCTTCCTTCGTTGCACCCAACCCTCCTGTCCTTCCTTTCCTCCCTTCCACGCCTCCCTCACTCCCTGCCTTCCTTCCACCTCTCCCTCCCTCCTGTCCACCCCTTTCTTCCAACCCTCCCTCCCTTTCACCCCTTTCTTCCTTACACCCCATCCTCCCTCCCATTTCCTTTCTTCTTTCTGCATAACACATTTAACAGTGCCATTTCAAAAGATAATTTACGAGCGTGTGTTTAGGGGCAGTGCAGGTTAGGGGTTGGGTGGGGCAACTGGTAGCGAGTAACTCTAAGTCCTGGCTAGCAGCTCAGGACTTGAAATTTTGTGCCGTGTGTGCATATATATATATATATATATTCTATCTATCTATCTACATACACACATACATACATACATACATACATACACACACACATACATACATACATACATACACAGTATCTCACAGAAGTGAGTACACCCCTCATATTTTTGTAAATGTATCTTTTCAAGTGACAACACTGAAGAAATTACACTTTGCTACAATGTAAAGTAGTGAGTGTACAGCTTGTATAACAGTGTAAATTTGCTGTCCCCTCAAAATAATTCAACACACAGCCAATAATGTCTAAACCGCTGGCAACAAACGTGAGTACACCCCTAAGTGAAAATGTCCTAATTGGGCCCAAAGTGTCAATATTTTGTGTGGCCACCATTATTTTCCAGCACTGCCTTAACCCTCTTGGGCATGGAGTTCACCAGAGCTTCACAGGTTGCCACTGGAGTCCTCTTCCACTCCTCCATGACAGAGCTGGTGGATGTTAGAAACCTTGCGCTCCTCCACCTTCCATTTGAGGATGCCCCACAGATGCTCAATAGGGTTTAGATCAGTAGACATGCTTGGCCAGTCCATCACTTTTACCATCAACCTCTTTAGCAAGGGAGTGGTCGTCTTGGAGGTGTGTTTGGGGTCGTTATGTTGGAATACTGCCCTGCGGCCCAGTCTCTGAAGAGAGGGGATCATGCTTTGCTTCAGTATGTCACAGTACATGTTGGCATTCATGGTTCCCTCAATGAACTGTAGCTCCCTAGTGCCAACAGCACTCATGCAGCCCCAGACCATGACACTCCCACCACCATGCTTGACTGTAGGCAAGACACACTTGTCTTTGTACTCCTCACCTGGTTGCCGCCACACACGCTTGACACCATCTGAACCAAATCAGTTTATCTTGGTCTCATCAGACCATAGGACATGGTTCCAGTAATCCATGTCCTTAGTCTGCTTGTCTTCAGCAAACTGTTTGCGAGCTTTCTCGTGCATCATCTTTAGAAAAGGCTTCCTTCTGGGACGACAGCCATGCAGACCAATTTGATGCAGTATGCAGTGTATGGTCTGAGCACTGATAGGCTGACCCCCCCACCTCTTCAACCTCTGCTGCAATACTGGCAGCACTCATACATCTATTTCCCAAAGACAACCTCTGGATATGATGCTGAGCACGTGCACTCAACTTCTTTGGTTGACCATGTCGAGGCCTGTTCTGAGTGGAACTTGTCCTGTTAAACCGCTGTATGGTCTTGGCCACCGTGCTGCAGCTCAGTTTCAGGGTCTTTGCAGTCTTCTCATAGCCTAAGCCATCTTTATGTAGAGCAACAATTCTTTTTTTCAGATCCTCAGAGAGTTCTTTGCCATGAGGTGCCATGTTGAACTTCCAGTGACCAGTATGAGAAAGTGAGAGCGATAACAACAAATTTAACACACTTGCTCCCCATTCACACATGAGATCTTGTAACACTAATGAGTCACATGACACCGGGGAGGGAAAATGGCTAATTGGGGGTGTACTCACTTTTGCTGCCAGCGATTTAGACACTACTTTACATTGTAGCAAAGTATCATTTCTTCAGTGTTGTCACATGAAAAGATATATTAAAATATTTAAAAAATGTGAGTGTTGAGGTGTACTCACTTCTGTGAGATACTGTATGTATGTGTATGTATGTATATATATATATATATATATATATATATATATATATATATATATATATATATGTGTGTGTGTATATATATACTAGTGCTCAGCACTGCTGAGCACTAGTACCCTAGAAGCAAACAGCTGAACATATGGGATATGTTTCCTGCAAATCACCGGAAGGGGTAAATGTATGTTTTCACACTTCAACTAAACTTGAAAAATGTATTTAAATTCCCCAACTTAACTTTGTGCCCCTGCTGCATCCCCATTGGGAATATTCATCTACACTACTGGTCAACCCTCGTATAAAAAGTGAGGGGAAATCCAGAATTTTTAAGTGGTCGCAGAAACAAGAGGTAACAATTGTCTCAAAGGGGATATTTTCTTGATCTGAAGAGATCTCCTTTTACTATCTGCCATGCCTCTGGCCCAGGAAATGAAAAGAAGTCTCTTGGACAGCACACAGAAAAAAAAAAAAACAAGTCTAACAGTCTAGCCATTCCCTATCCAAAATAAAAACAAAAAGCTTTATAAAAGTTTCATGTTTTAGTTTCAGCCTCTCCAACTCTAAAGCAAACCGTGTTTTATTTAGATTTGGACAACAGTAAAATTGATTGTTCAAGTACAGTTGCAAGAAAGTATGTGAACCCCTTGGGATTACGTGGAGTTTTGCATGAATTGGGCATAAAATGTGCTCTGAATGTCATCTAAGTCACAACAATAGAAGAACACAGTCTGCTGAACATAATACTACACAAACATTAGATGTTGCCATGGTTTAATTGCACATAACATGTAAACATTCACAGTGCAGGGAGGAAAAAGTATGTGAGGCCCTAGCTTAAATGACTTCTCCCAGAGCTAACTGGAGCCAGGAGTGAGCCAACCTTGACTCCAATCAGTGTGATGATATTGGATGTGTTGCTGACAGCTGTCCTGCCCTTAAAAAACACACACCTGTTTTGGGTTTACTGGTTTCAAGAAGCACTGTCTGATGTGAACCATGCTTCGCAGAAAAGAGCTCTCAGAAGACCTACGATCAAGAATTGTTGACTTGCATGAAGCTGGAAAGGGTTACAAAAGTATCTCCAAAAGCCTTGATGTTCATGTGTCCACGGTAAGACAGAATGTCTACAAATGGAGGAAGTTTAGCACTGTTGCTACTCTCCCTAGGCGTGGTCCTCCTGTAAAAATGACTGCAAGAGCACAGCGCAGAATGCTGCATGAGGTAAAGAAGAATCCCAGAGTGTCAGCTAAAGACCTACAGAAATCTCTGGCAAATGCTAACATTTTTGTTGACCCATCTACAATAAGGAAAACATTAAACAAGAATGGAGTACATGGGAGGACACCACAGAGGAAGCCATTGCTGTCCAAAAAGAATATTGCAGCAGCACGTTTGAAGTTTGCAAAAGAGCACCTGGATGTTCCACAGCACTACTGGCAAAAGATACTGTGGACAGATGAAACCAAGATTGAGTTGTTTGGGAAGAACACACAACACTATGTGTGGAGAAAAAAAAGGCACAGCACACCAACATCAAAACCTCATCCCAACTGTAAAACATGGCGGAGGGAGCATCATGGTTTGGGGCTGCTTTGCTGCCTCAGGGCCTGGACGGATTGTTGTCATTGATGGGAACTTGAATTCCAGAGTTTATCAAGACATTTTGCAGGAAAACGTACAACCATCTGTCCGCCAACTGAAGCTCCGCAGAGGATGGGTGACGCAACAGGAAAATGACCCAAAGCATACAAGTAATTCAACAAAACAATGGCTGCAACAGCACAGAATACGCCTTCTGGAGTGGCCCAGTCAGAGTCCTGACCTCAACCCGATTGAAATGCTGTGGCATGACCTTAAGAGAGCGATTCACACCAGACATCCCAAGAATATTGCTACACTGAAACAGTTTTGTGAAGAGGAGTGGTCCAAAATTTCTCCAGATCGTTGTGCAGGTCTGATCTGCAACTACAGGAAACGTTTGGTTGAGGTTATTGCTGCCAAAGGAGAGTCAACCAGTTATTAAGTCCAAAGGTTCACATACTTTTTCCTCCCTGCACTGTGAATGTTTACATGTTATGTGCAATTAAACCATGGCAACATCTAATGTTTGTATAGTATTATGTTCAGCAGACTGTGTTCTTCTATTGTTGTGACTTAGATGACGTTCAGAGCACATTTTATGCCCAATTCATGCAAAACTCCACGTAATCCCAAGGGGTTCACATACTTTTTCTCTTGCAACTGTAGACTCTTTTGCACTTAATGGAAAAAAGAACCATGATTATTTGTTTATTGTACATGCCAAAGGACTCTTACCCATTTCTTCAGCTATCCGCTCATTTAAGTTTTTCACCCCAGGGGCAAACTTGATCCTTTTCTCATGATCATCCAGCTCATTGTCGCTTTCTGATTGGCTAGAATCTGAAGGTTCATGAGGCACATGTAATGATATGAAATCTCCTTTTGCCCGTGCCAGTTTTCGCTGTCTTCGAGCTGCCCGGATTTCCTTAGCGTCTGGGATTTCACCTGCGCTGAACAGATATTGCATAAAGATTTCAAGCCATGTTTAAGCTAAAAGACAGGAACTCCTGTTAAACGTATACAGTATATCAAATATCAGAAAATGTGTGAAGTGCTCCTTGGACACCACAAATATAGATATATTGTAAAAAAAATGATGTCCTAATTAGCCCAATTATTGGCAGTATGAAAGGATGTTGGGTTGTCAGAAACAGCAGGACATATCTATGTGTGGAAAATTTTGAAGACTTCACTAGTCACAATAAAAGCACACTATCATAATGGCAATGCCCAAAAATCAGAATGCTCTGTGTAACCACAATCTCCCTGACAGAAAACGCAAACTGCCTTGTATGCACAGCAAATCGCTGGAAGTGGGCCCAGCTCTAGCAGCTGCAATCGCATGCAGCTGTTGTGCCTGCCCCTCCTCTTCTCATGTCCAATCACAGAGCACTTTGTATTATATGAAACCATTTACAAAGCCCTCTGTGAATGAAGAGCAAAGGGTAAGGGTGGACAGAGATGCTGCTGTATGGGAAGACAGCAGCTCTCGATAGTTTTACTAAGTATCAGGAGTACAGCTATCAGTTGTAAATTACAGACATGAGTCCAGGAGGTGGCATGCACCTCACTGGACATAACTCACAGTAAGCCAGCACATTTTACAAAGTGGCTGTATTCCTAGAGCTCAGCTTTACACTTGCTGCTGGATACATTTAAATACAAAACATGTATAAAAAAATAAAATAAAATGAAGGGCAGACTCGATGGACACCTGAGCATTTTTTCTGCTTTAATTTTTCTATGTTATTGCCTTTTAAGACAAACATAACAGGATTAAAATGTGCCCACATACTGTACATTCCACAGAAAAAAAAATATAACAACATTTTGGCTGGATAGGTCTGACATTTCAGTTGCATCTACACGTAACTTTGCATACTTATATGCATGGAATTACACTGGTGAGAATACAGACCTTCCTGCAATGGAGAAGCAGATGAAGATGTACTAGTGCTTGCAGATCCTGGTGACTCTTCCTTGTAACATTCCAGGTCTTCAGGTTCACTGTGCTCTTGTTCTGAACCTTAACATGAATTGTTCAGATTATTTGTATGCACATTTAGATCCAACACTAAAAATCACGTCTGGCTATTTCCCTTTTATACTGAAACAAAACATTAGGTCACTTCCTGCTGGGGAAGACATCCTCTCTCTCACAGGCAATAGAATAAAACCAAATGCCAGGCAAACATCTAAGCACATAGATAAAATACATATAAAGAAACTTTTTTACCTGCCAAATGATTTGCATTTCTGTCCATCCAGTCCAGAAATTTGTATAGCTCTACCTGATCTTTCTTTGCTGTACTTTAGCTTTCACATACAGATCCCCTCTCCCACATTGTGAGTAGGAGAAACCGCAGATCATCTCTATGTACCTCTGATCTCTCCTCCTATAGGTATGCTTCCTACACTACATCACACCTGATTGGCTTCTTGTACTGCTTCTCCTTCCAGTCTTGGTCCTGCTGTCCAGGGGCTTGAGAAGCACTGATATAAAGTCAAATGTAGGTACTTACACTGCTTGTGTTAAAGCACTGCTACTGCTACAGTGTACTTACACTGCTAGTGGTCCTTTACTCTACGTTGGGGACTTTAATGCAGTATTAGACGCTGCTGGTGAAGGCTTGGGGGGGGTGGTGGTAAAATGTATCAGATGCTCTTGGACTGGATACAAGTGTACGGTCTTACTGAATTATGGCGATGGAAACACCCTGATGCACATCAGTACTCCTGCCATTTCAACTCTTTTCACACTATGTCACGTATTGATATGACCTTTGCTCCTGTGACCACGCTTCCTCTAGTCTCTGCCGTTTCCTACCCCCCTAGGGGCATTTCAGATCATGCCCCTCTCTCCGTGGACCTCCACTGGCTTCCATGCACTGGATCTACATTGTGGCTCTTGAACCACAGTGGTTGGAGGACAAGGTGGTACGGGGAGAATGGGTATTGCTGACTATTGGAATGCAAACTTAGGCACTGTCAACCATTCCACGGAGTGGGAGGCATTTAAAACTACCTTCCGTGGAACCGTTATGTCCGTCACTGGCATGCTACATAAAAATACTCAAATAGGCAGTGAGGAACTGGAGTCAGCTATGATGATGGCTGAACATAATTATGTAGCTAACCCTGATCCCCTTAGTATGGCAGAGTGGCTGTTGAAACGTAGAGAGTTTGAACTTTGGCTGTTAGACTTTACTATACAAAAAAAAGATGCTCTATGTTACACAAAAATTATTGGAATATGGTAACAAGGCTGGACACCTACTTGCTTATTTGACTAGACCTGAATTTGCCCCGAATTCTATTCGCCAGATATACTTACCTTCTAGACAGCTGGGTACTGCATCTCTTGAAGTTGCGGATGTCTTTCTGTCATACTATACTGATCTTTATGCTACTACAGCCCATTACTCCACAGATCAATTGCTAGGCTATTTGAGGTGGGTCACACTTCCCTCCTTGTCCCCAAGCATAAAAAGGGATCTAGATGCACCTATCTCAGTTGAGGAACTAGACCTTGCCATTTCACAGCTATCGGCTCATAAAACCCAAGGCCTTGATGGCTTTCCATCCGAGTGGTATGCCAACTTCAAATTGCTGATTAGTCCGCTTCTTTTTTGGATGTTTAACGAGGCCTTAGTGGCAGGCATTTTACCTCTTACTATGCAAGAAGCACTGATTGTTCTCATTTGGAAACCTCATAAAAAAAACCCTCTTAAATGTGATTCATATAGGCCAATCTCCCTTATTAATGTTGATGTAAAAATTCTGGCGAAAGTCTTGACCAATCACTTGAATGTTGTAGTGGCAACCCTAGTGAAAGGAGACCAAGGTGGCTTTATACCTGGTTGCTCCACCAGAATGAACATTCGCAGATTGTTTCACAATATGCAATACCCCCATGACTGTTCCTCTACATGTGTTGTTTCTCTAGACACATGTAAGGCCTTTGATAGTGTAGAATGGCTCTACTATGCCTGTATGGTTGTGGCCCTGGTATGATAGCCTGGATAAGCCTACTCTATGCAAACCCTGAAGCCAGAATTAGAGTGAACTCCTAGGTCACTGATGCTTTTCCAACACACAGGAGCACTAGAGCAGGGTTGTCCCTTATCCCCCTTGCTGTTTGCACTGGCAATAGAGCCGCTTGCTATCTGTATCCGTAATTCCCCTTCTATCAGAGGACTCCCTATTGATACAATAGAAGAATGCATTCCTTATACGCAGAACACACCTTGGTTTACTTAGCTGATCCCCACGACTCTTTGCATTCTTTACTACAAGCAAGTACTGTCTTTGGCTTCCGGGTGAATTGAGATAAATCCAGCCTATTCCCTTAGATTCTGGCGCCTTGTCTGTGATTCACCCGGAGTCCAGATTACAAGTTGTTACCATGTTCAGATATCTAGGAGTCAAGGTACAGCTGCCATTGTCCTCCTACATCATGAATAACTTTTGTCCATTGATTGCCCAGCTACGGGTCTACACCAGACAATGGATGGACCTGCCATTGGACTTAATGGGTAGGGTTAATATCCTGAAGACGATTTATCTCCCTAAGCTGTTGTATGTACTAGCCAATCCCCTTGCAAAATACCCAAATTCCTCTTCAAACAAATTGATACCATCTGTACAGCATTTCTCTGGCAACATCACCCCCCTCCCCTAGAATGGCATTGGAAGTTTTAAGGTTGCCTACTTCTTGGACGGGACTGGCCTTCCCCAATTTTTATTTATATTACTTGGCATCTCAAATGGTTCATATACATGATTGGCTGACCTCCGCTAATGCCTGCACCACCACTGAAGTGGCTATTGCTTCGACTTTACAAGCACTTTATAATATTGTTTACGGACGCCAAGTAACAGCTCGTCCTGGTACTACAATGTTACGTATCTCCTTGTATTTGTTTAATGTAGTGCTGACCCAAATATTTAAGACCTCCTGGGTCATGTCTCCCAACAACCCTGTGTGGTATAATCCCACTTTGCAAGAACTCTATTCTTTGCCTGACCCTCAATGTTAGTTTTCCAGAGGGGTCAAATACCTATGCCATCTTTTCTCTGGCTGGGCCTTTAAATCCTTCCAACAACTACGGGCAGACTTTAATTTGCCCTCCCACTATTTATTTTATTACTATTAACTCCTTCATGCAGTACGTATACAATTTGGGATTTTGGATAATCCTTTACAGATCACCCCGTTAGAAAAGTTGTTACAACAACCTGACCCTACTAAATTGACTTCTACTTGTTACTCTACTTTGGTGACAGACTTCAGTCCTAAATTCCTAGTTGCCCAGGCTAAATGGGTTTCAATGGACATACTGTTTGAGGAGGAAGACTGGTATGAATTCAGTGATACCTACAATAAATCTGTCATTTCCTCTAAAGATAGCATTATTCAACTTAAAATTTTCAATCTATCACACCTTACTCCTGCCCGGTTACATAAAATGGGTTTACTACCTACGGCAGATTGTTTTAGAGGCTGTGTGCAAATGGCTGATTTCCTGCATTGGTTCTGGATGTGGACGTGTCCGACAGTCGGGGAAATTTGGGAGGAAGTATGTTCCTTCATATCCTCAACACTGGGCCTACCTAATGCCTTACATCCCAAGAACTGTCTTTTAGGCATTTTTGGGGATCTAGCATTCTTGGAATACGCTAAAAGATTGTTACGGATATTATATCTTTATGCTAAGAAAGTGCTTCTCTTGTCCTGGATAGGATAATGTCGGCCCACAGTGGCCACTTGGCTTAAATTTGTTTATGATTCCCTCCCCCTCGTTTGAGCTTAGGAGAACATCTAAAGTGTTTCATAAAATATGGGATAGGTGGCTTTTCAATCTCCTTACTTTATCCTCTATAGATCTAAAGTCTTGAGTGAGTTCTTCATACCTAAGTTGGCTATGTATAGTCTCTTTTATTGGAGAACATTTATTCTGTTTGTTGTACACACTGGTATATCAGACATGTGAGGCACTGTGAGATGCTTTGATTGTTCACTGTTTTAACTTTAGGACTTTTGTCCTGGTTTTCTCTTACTCTTTTTTTTGTATACCTTTTGTTAAAACTCAATAAACGAATGAATAGCAACACATTGCACTAATGCATTCATGTGTCTTACCACAACACAATGGCATGACTGGGCCCTAAAGGAAAAGTTAAGATTTGCATTTCATTTTGAATCTACTGATTTGATTGAAATGATGAGTTCACTCAGCTTTATTTATACATATATATATATATATATATATATATATATAAATACATTTCCTCATATTCCTTAATATGAATAGGCCAGGTTTGTGGCAGGTGTCCAGCCATATCTAATGGATTTAATAAGTTAGTTGATCATCTTTCAACATTTTCTGTATAATGCAGCTCATACCTACCTCTTCTACTATCATCAGGTGACCTGCTGGGAACATCGACATTTTCTGTCTTTTTCTGAACTTTAAACACCACAGCATTGACACTTGGTTTCTTGATCCTAAAGGCCACCCCTTCACCTGGAGTAAAATAAATTATTAAGAATATTGGCAATATTGAAGGGTTTGTCATAAAACAAGCTGGCGGTGCATGTTACATGATGCAACAAACTGGGGAGGTGCAGGGTTTCCGTATAACAAGCAAGATACTGGGGATGCAGGGGATGGTATATACCATGTTGCACACTGGGGGGTTCAGAGGGTGCAATATACCATGTAAACTGGGGGGGGGGGGGGTGCAGGGTAGGTAATAACAGGTAGCCCACTGGGAATGGGGGATGGGATGTCAGAGGTGCAGGGGATGCCATATAATATGTATTATACCAGGAGGCACAAGGAATGCCATATAACATTGAACATGCTTTGGGGGGTAAATGGGATGCCATATAATATGCTGGGGGTACAGGGGAAGCAACATATAACAAGCTGGGAGTGAAGGGGATGCCATATAATATGCTGGGGGTACAGGGGAAGCAACATATAACAAGCTGGGAGTGAAGGGGATGCCATATAATATGCTGGGGGTACTGGGGATGCAACATATAACAAGATGGGAGTGAAGGGGATGCCATATAATATGCTGGGGGTACAGGGGATGCAACATATAACAAGATGGGAGTGAAGGGAATGCCATATAATATGCTGGGGGTACAGGGGATGCAACATATAACAAGATGGGAGTGAAGGGGATGCCATATAATATGCTGGGGGTACTGGGGATGCAACATATAACAAGATGGGAGTGAAGGGAATGCCATATAATATGCTGGGGGTACAGGGGATGCAACATATAACAAGATGGGAGTGAAGGGGATGCCATATAATATGCTGGGGGTACAGGGGATGCAACATATAACAAGATGGGAGTGAAGGGGATGCCATATAATATGCTGGGGGTACTGGGGATGCAACACATAACAAGATGGGAGTGAAGGGAATGCCATATAATATGCTGGGGGTACAGGGGATGCAACATATAACAAGATGGGAGTGAAGGGAATGCCATATAATATGCTGGGGGTACTGGGGATGCAACACATAACAAGATGGGAGTGAAGGGGATGCCATATAGCATGTAACACATTGGGATGAAGAGGATTCCATGCAGTATGCTAGAGGTTCATTGAATACAACAAGCTGGGAAGTTGCAAGAATGCTGAATGCCATATACCATGCACGACACTGGGATGCAGGGGATGTTCTATACCATGTTGCACACTGGGGGGGGGCCAGAAGGCGCAATATACAATGTAGACTGGGGGGAGGGGTGCAAAGGATGTCATAGCATGTAGCACGATGGGATGTGAGAGGATACAATATAACATAACAAGCCATGCGACGCACTAGAGGGGATATGCCACGCGACGCACTGGGGGGGAGAAGCACTGGGAGGGGGGCACCACGCCACATGCCAGGGGCAACACGCCACGCGCTGGGGGGTCAAAGAGCACCACGCGCTGGGGGGCAGGAGGCACCATGCCACATGTAGGGTGGCGCAGGGGATGCCACGCCACATGCTGGGGGAGAACAGGGGGCACCACGCCACATGAAGGCTGGGGATGCCACGCCACACACTGGGGGGGCAGGGGGTGCCACGCCACATGATGGGGGGGCAGGGGGTGCCACACCACACGATGGGGGGCAGGTGGGGGGGCCACGCCACACGAGGGGGGGGGCAGGGGGCGCCACGCCACACGCCGGGGGGGGCAGGGGGCGCCACGCCACACGCCGGGGGGGCAGGGGGCGCCACGCAACACGCTGGGGGGAAGGGGGCGCCACGCAACACGCTGGGAGAGGCAGGGGGTGCCATGTGACACATTGAGGGGGCCCCCCCAGGTGACACGCTGGGGGGGTGCGACGCGACACACTGGGGGGGGGGGGGCAGGACTCAACACGACATGCTGGGGGAGAGGGGGGTGCCATGTGACACTTTGAGGGTGTAGGGGACGCCACACGTAACACTGAGGGCCCCATTATTGTGACCTCTCACCCTCCCTCTCCTCGGTGAAGCTGAGCAGGCCGCCAGTCCCAGTCGAGGTGTCCGCTGGGTCCTCGGTTTTCCTCTTCTCTATATCCGCCTCCTCCTCTTTCCTCTTCTTAGTCCCGCAGCTCAGTCCTCGTCCGACAGGCCTCCTCGGCCTCTCCACCTGGCTCCGGTCCCCTTCCTCCTCCTCCTCCCCGCTGGACTCTGCTCTCCGGACCCGAAGGTTGCGGTTCGGTTTCCTGAACATCCTCAGTGGAAGTCGCTTCCTGATTCCATCAGAGAGGCGACAACACAGCCTGCGGCCAATCAGGACACAGAATTCTTTTCAATAACTTTATTTTCACAGACAAAAAAAGACAAGTTTGATTAGAGAGACTGTTCACAGTATAGTATGTGAGGGGAATGTCTTCCCTTCTACCATGTACACAGCTCCCAGTGTAGTGCTGAATACTGGCATGGATAGACAGTAGAGTGTGAGCCTCCTCACAGAACACCGAACAATTGCTGTGCTATGTATCAGAGTCTCACACACACATCTAAAGGATCATTTGTAAAAAAAAAAAAAAAAACCATAAAAACTAAAGGAGAAACTTTTTTTTAATTTTGGATAAAGTAATGGAGGATTATAACCCCTGTCAGTTCTGTCCCATTGGGGATTTTCCCCTTCACTTCCTGTCCCACAGCCAAAACAGGACGTGAGAGGAAATCCCTGCTAAGCCAGCAGAACTGGTGTCTCCATTGGATTCCTCTTTATTCCTGTTCTGGTGACAACCCAAAATTTCAGTGCTATTGGTAAACAGGACAAAAAGAATGTCCCTATCGGAGACACAAACAGCAATACAAACTGACAGGGATTCTAATCCTTTTTGATATACTTTGATTACTTAAATCCCAGGGCCTTTTTCTCCCTAAACCCCCATGAGTCTCAGAGAGTTTTTTTTTTATTATTATTTTGGGGATTTTGAACATTATATCTTTTATGTTTTGTATTCTGCTGGAAGGGCTCCTTCACACTTTGCTCTCTGATGAGTGATCCACGTTTATATCACTCTTCAGAGAGCTTTTGACATGCTCTATACACCTGACTACCATGTGGCAACCGCCTTCCCTTGAATCGGTGGCATTCGGCATGCCTACAGAGCAAGACGGGGTACAAATGCTGTTGTAGCCGCATGCATACACACCTTCCCAGATAAGGGGTGACTCACCTACAGATTTTACCGCCCCCAAACAAAATGTAAAGGAGTCCTCATATGTAATATTTTTGGAGCAGATGAGACACACAATAATGCATCATTATAGGGTTAAATCAGGCGGTGAGGAGACTATATAGCACCTCATCACTGCCTGTCAAACGCCCTCTGAAGAGCACTGGAAGAAGAGAACCTGACATTGATACAACCAAGGCTTTTTTTCAGCGGGAATGTGGGGGAACGCAGTTCCAAATCCTCCATCACTGAATGTATGTAATGGCAAGGGGAACCGGAGTGCGTTGGGGGATGAGTTGCTGCCTTCTAGGGGATCTATTGTCACTTGGATCTATTGTTGTAGTGGGTCTATTGTTGCGGATGGGGGATTTATTGTGAGGAATGTATTGTTGCTGTGCGGGATCTACTGTTGAGGAAGGGATCAACTGATGCTGGCTGCTGGGAGATCTATTGTTTCTGGCAGGGGTCTTTTATTGCTGAGGAGGTATATTGCTCCGGGGGGGTCTTTTCTTGGGGGGATCTATTGTTGCTGGCTACAGGGGATGTATTCTCCCTAGGGAATGCTCTCCTGCTAGAACCAAGCCTCCCCGCTGTACTGATCAGCTCCTCAGGCTCTCTCCTTCCAATTCTTGCAGTCCTCCACATGGACATCTGTCAGCGTGCCTCAATGAGGACAGGAGCAGAGAGGTGTGCTGACAGTAGAGGCATCAAGGGCCAGAAATATAGAGCCAGAGGGCCAGATGTGGCCCTGGAGCAGCAACTTGCCCAGGTCTGCTTCAGGAGAACTTCGTACCTCTTTCATATTTTCAGATCAGGTTGACAAGGACACAAATGATCAGGATGGCAACTTTTTCACAGGTTTGCGATCACAAAAAATTTGAATGGCAATGGGGCTTATTTACTGAAACTGCATGGTGATACATCTGGTGCAGCTCTGCATACAAACTAATCCACTTCCAGGTTTTATTGACAAAGCTTAACTGAAAAAGCTGAAGGTAGAAGCTGATTGGCTGCCATGTCCAGCTGCACCAGATTCTGAGTGCTCCAGTATTAGTAAAACTCCCCTATGGAGTTGGCTTACACTATATTGCCATAAGTATTAGGATGCCTGCTTTTCCACGCACATGAACTTTAATGGCATCCCAGTCTTAGGCTACGTTCACAGTAGCCTTGTGTGCAGGCGGCAGAGAGGCGTTTGGGAAGCGTTTTTACCGCTTCCCAAACACCTCTGCCAATTCTGCACATTACAGCACATGGTGCTGTTCTAACAGGAGCGTTTGCGTCGCGGCAAAACGGACGCCTCTGGTCGAGTCAGGAGGCTTTGAAGCCTCCTATTCTCGTCTATGGTGCTGCTCCGCAAACGCCCGGCCGGCGTTTGCGGTGCGGTTGCGGGGTGTTTGCGGAGCGGTAACACCACTCAAATGCATTATAGGCGTTTGTGGGGCGTTATTAACGCTCGGCAAACGCCTAGCAACCGCCGCTAAACCCGCGCATGCGGCGTTTGCGGAGCGTTTGCCGAGCGTTAAAAACGCTCCGCAAACACCGGACCAACGCTTGCCAAACGCTATAGGGGCATTTGGCAAGCGTTGGCAAAACAGCCTAGTGTGAACGAGCCCTTAGTCCGTAGGGTTTAATATTGAGTTGGCCCACCCTTTGCAGCTATAACAGCTTCAACTCTTCAGGGAAGGCTGTCCACAAGGTTTAGGAGGGTGTCTATGGGAATGTTTGACCATTCTTCCAGAAGGGCATTTGTGAGGTCAGGTACTGATGTCTGACAAGAAGGCCTGGCTCGCAGTCTCCTCTCTAATTCATCCCAAAGGTGTTCTATGGGGTTGAGGTCAGGACTCTGTGCAGGCCAGTCAAGTTCCTCCACCCCAAACTGGCTCATCCATGTCTTTATGGACTTTGCTTTATGCACTGGTGTGCAGTCATGTTGGAACAGGAAGGGGCCATCCCCAAACTGTTCCCACAAAGTAGGAGCATGAAATTGTCCAAAATGTCTTGGTATGCTGACACCTTAAGAATTCCCTTCACTGAAACTAAGGGGCCAAGCCCAACCCCTGAAAAACAACCCCACACCATAATCCCCCCTCCACCAAACTTTACACTTGGCACAATGCAGTCAGGAAAGTACCGTACACCTGGCAACCGCCAAACCCAGACACATCCATCGGATTGCCAGTAAGAAAAGCGTGATTGGTCACTCCAGAGAACACGTCTCCATTGCTCTAAAGTCCAGTGGCGGCTTGCTTTACACCACTGCATCTCACGCCTTGCATTGCACTTGATGATGTAAGGCTTGGATGCAGCTGCTCGGCCATGGAAACTCATTCCATGGAGCTCTCTACACACTTTTGTTGTGCTAATTTGAAAGCCACATGAAGTTTGCAGATCTTTAGCTATTGACTCTGCAGACGGTGACTTCTGCGCACTGTGCACTTCAGCATGCGCTAACCCCGCTCTGTCATTTTACGTGGCCTACGACTTGGTGGCTGAGTTGCTGTTGTTCCCAGTTGCTTCCACTTTGTTATAATACCACTCACAGTTGACTGTGGAATATTTAGGCGCAAGGAACTTTCACAGATGGACTTATTGCACAGGTGGCAACCTATCACGTTACCACGCTTGAATTCACTGAGCTCCTGAGAGCGATCCATTCTTTCACAAATGTTTGTAGAAGCAGTCTGCATGCCTAGGTGCTTGATTTTATACACCTGTGGCCATGGAGGAGATTGCAACACCTGAATCCAGTGATTTGGAGGGCTGGCCCAATACTTTTGGCAATATAGTGTACATGAGCATTTGATATTTGAGCAGTGGATGCAAATATCAACCAGTTCATTCATCATCATAGCTGCAAACTGGGGATCAACGTGAGAAGGGAATATTTTTATTTCTTACACTTCTTTATCTTCATGGGGGATCTGGATCAGTCGGTGAAGACCAGATTAAGGCCCCCCCCCCCCCCCATGAAGCAGTGCAGCAGCAGGTCACCCCCAAGGCCTCGCTCACATGGGGCATATTAGTGTTCTCCGAACAAGGACGCACAGGTGTTCCATGTGCCCCCATGCAGGCAGTCTCATTTATGTCTACTGGGAGACAGTGGCTGCATGGACACAGCCACTGATCCCAATTTGACATTGACATGGGTATGTGACCATAAGTGCGCACTATCTGCAGTTAGCGCCAGGCACCTGCACATGTAAACATGGCCCTCGCACAATGAGACATTGATTCGCTGTGCCTGCACCATTTTAAAACAGTGCTCAGGGCTCAAGCATTTATAAAAAAATATATATATATATATTATATATATATATAATTGTTTTGGCCATACTTCTCTTGTGGGTCGCAGACATGCACGTACTTGTACTCCTGTGACCTAGTATCAGCCAACAGTGGACCAAAGGTTGCTTGAAACAAGTCACACAGTACCAAAAACCATATTTAAAGCAGAACTACAGGTGAAACTCGAAAAATTAGAATATCATGCAAAAGTTCATTTATTTCAGTAATGCAACTTAAACCAGGTGAAACTAACATATGAGATAGACTCATTACATGCAAAGCAAGATAGTTCAAGCAGTGATTTGTCATAATTGTGATGATTATGGCTTACAGCTCATGAAAGCCCCAAATCCACAATCTCAGAAAATGAGAATATTGTGAAAAGGTGCAATATTCTCGGCTCAAAATGTCCCACTCTAATCAGATAATTAAGCCATAACACCTGCAAAGGGTTCCTGAGCCTTTAAATGGTCTCTCAGTCTGGTTCAGTAGGAATCACAATCATGGGAAAGACTGCTGACCTGACAGTTGTGCAGAAAACCATCATTGACACCCCCCATAAGCAGGGAAAGCCTCAAAAGGTAATTGCACAAGAAGTTGGATGTTCCCCCAGTGCTGTATCAAAGCACATTATTAGAAAGTTATGTGGAAGGGAAAGGTGTGGAAGAAAAAGGTGCACAAGCAGCAGGGATGAATGCAGCCTGGAGAGGATTGTCAGGAAAAGGCCATTCAAAAGTGTTGGGGACTTTCACAAGGAGTGGACTGAGGCTGGAGTCAGTGCATCAAGAGCCACCACACACAGACGGATCCTGGACATGGGCTTCACATGTCGTATTCCTCTTGTCAAGTCGTTCCTGAACAACAAATGTTAGAAGCGTCTTACCTGGGCTAAAGAAAAACAGACCTGGTCTGTTGCTCAGTGGTCCAAAGTCCTCTTTTCTGATGAGAGCAACTTTTGCATCTCATTTGGAAACCAAAGACCCCAAGTATGGAGGAAGAATAGAGAGGCACACACTGCAAGATGCTTGAAGTCCAGTGTGAAGTCTCCACAGTCTGTGTTGATTTGGGGAGCCATGTCATCTGCTGGTGTTGGCCCAGTGTGCTTCATTAAGTCCAGGGTCAGCGCAGCCGTCTACCAGGAGATTTTGGAGCACTTCATGCTTCCTTCCGCAGACAAGCTTTATGGGGATGCTGACTTCATTTTCCAGCAGGACTTGGCACCTGCCCACACTGCCAAAAGCACCAAAACCTGGTTCAATGACCGTGGGATTACTGTGCTTGATTGGCCAGCAAACTCACCTGACCTGAACCCCATAGAGAATCTATGGGGCATTGCCAAGAGAAAGATGAGAGACATGAGACCGAACAATGCAGAAGAGCTGAAGGCCGCTATTGAAGCATCCTGGTCTTCCATAACACCTCAGCAGTGCCACAGGCTGATAGCTTCCATGCCACGCCGCATTGAGGCAGTAATTGCTGCAAAAGGGGCCCAAACCAAGTACTGAGTACATATTCATGCTAATACTTTTCAGAGGTCCGATATTGTTCTATGTACAATCCTTGTTTTATTGATTGCATGCAATATTCGAATTTTCTGAGATTGTGGATTTGGGGTTTTCATGAGCTGTAAGCCATAATCATCACACTTATGACAAATCACGGCTTGAACTATCTTGCTTTGCATGTAATGAGTCAATCTCATATATTAGTTTCACCTTTTAAGTTGCATTACTGAAATAAATGAACTTTTGCACGATATTCTAATTTTTCGAGTGTCACCTGTATATTCACCTTTACTCCAGCGCTGGGATTTAGTGAAACTCCTTGCCAGACGCTGACAAGTTCAGCCATTTCTCTGGCTGAGCCAAGATGATGTCACTACAGGGTATGTGCAGAAGTACATTCATCTAGACAATGCCAATATTGTACATTGAGCTGCACATGCTCAGCATACATTATTGGCATGGTCCAGATGAATGGACAGGGTGGACAGACAGGTAAGAAAATTTGAATGCAGAAGATTCATAATATATCTCTTCTGCAATAAAAATCCTTCCTGTTCTCTGTTTTTTCCCTAAGGTTCCACTCTAGAATATGTATCAGAAACCTGAGCTGTAACCAGCTCTATCAACAAATTTCAGATTTTATTCCATTTATTAGTTCCAGATGCAATTTCAAATGAGATATTTAGTGTTACTAAACCCAGTACCACTATATCATGTCTCCCACAGTATACAGGACATGGAAGGAAAT